CAAAACATCCTACCATCTCTGATTTTTATTTCTTATTTGCAATTCCATTTTATTCTTCTTTTGTCATTGCACATTGCTTACTCTTTGTTTTACATTGAAAATTTTACATGATCTTATTAGAATGACGGTACGTACAACAAACGCTGCAACCTTTTATTTAAATGCGTGCTAAGAGTTTTGCATTATCAAAGTCTGCAATTTCAGCTTTTGCTCAATGATTGAGAGCTGTATGCGCAGTTGTATGTATACTTTATCGACCTGCCAACCTACATGCATGTGAAATTACTCTGCGTAATAAAACTGAGCGCTAAAGAAAGTCCAAATCTAAATGACTGCGAGAATGAGGCCAAGCGTAGCAACGGAAAGCGGACAAGGAACAAAGTGCGTAAACGACGCTGGTCAGTAAAGTGCGTAAATGACGCGCTTAACATACTTACTTGCAGCGTCACTGCAAACGCGTCCGATCACTTTGGCCGCGTTACATTTCGGCCGCACAGTTCACTTCGGTCAACTTTTATTTTGGCCAACACTAATTCGACCAACGCTCATTTCGTCAAGTGTACGTTTCGGCTATCATAGGTTTCTTCAGTTTCCTACGTTTTTTGGGTTTTCTTAGTTTTTAGGCTTTCTTAAGTTTTCTTAGGTTTTCTGAGGATTTTCAAGTTTATTATTAGGTTTCTTAGGTTTCTCGTTCTCGTCATTTTTTGCCATGCGCAATAATCCCACTCCATTCCGACAGCCGCGGAAGTTCACAAACGGTAGCATCTCATACTCTACATATATAAGTTGATTATGCAAAATAACGGCGCTGTAAAACCCCCATAGCATTTGAGCAGCACGGGTATTAATTTCATGCACGGATATTAATTTTACCCTTTTTTGCATGAAGGCTGCGCTTTAATTAATCATGAAGTGTGTAGAGCACGTAGAACTACATCTCACTTGGCTAAATACTTGTAGAATAATGATTCTATTGCTGATATCCATTTTCTTTCCCGGAACAGCTAGATTGCCCGTGGTGATGTTCAGATAGTAATGACTGTCGAAAGCAAAGTGCAAACAATTAATTGGCACTCAGAAGCGCTAATGTTCGGCTTGACACAACGATTTGCAGGGTTTCCATAGAAATTTATCAATGAATTCTAATTCAGTAAAAACCAAGAAAACAACTAATACTGCTATCATCGCTGCATAATAATGTAAGCCTTCTTGTGCACGTTAGTATAACCAGCTTTAACAATTGTAATATAATAATTACGTGCAGGATGAGAAAACCACAATACCATTCTAAATGATATTCTATTAAATTAAGGTCCGTACAATAACGCTGGTAGTTTTTAATTATAGTATGTGCGCTCAGAGTTTTATGTTATCGATTATTAAACTTTGTTGCGTAGTGTGCGTAGTTGCAGGCTGTACGACCTAACATCTGCATGCATGCATCTGTCTATACTCTATATGCATTTCTGTCAGTGATAACAGCTGAATGCTGGACAGAGTCCATTTCTGAATATGCCTGTGAGAACAGGGCACAGTACATCAGCAACGGAAAGGGGCCAAGAGACAAAGTGCGGTAGCAACGGTTGTAAGTAAATGGCACAAGCATGCGCACTGGTTTGTAACGCCACTGTACATGCATTTACCTAATCGTAAATATTTTTAGTTCGACTGTATTTCCATGCAGGCGAAAATTACAACATAACTAATTCAGGTTGATTATGCTGTAAAATTAATTGCACACTGATCTGAACATTTACTAATAATCAGACAGGCAAATAAGAAAATCGAAAATAAAAAATAACCTGTTATTTTAGGAATTTTTGGAAAACTTTGCCATTAATCAAGTAGTTGGAAAAATAACAAAGTACACTGCAGAAGCACTCGTGCTGTAATGGGAAGCACATAGCGTGGTAAACGCAGTAAATGATCTTAACGAGATGATTAATTAAAGCCAAAATGCGTTAAAAATAATTATTGGTAAGAATAATTGCTTGAGTAACATCAATAATATTAAACATGTGTTGTAATGCCTGCGATTTCTGTTTTGTAATATTTTAATTAGTTTTAAGTTTTGGCATTTAACCATAACGCAAACCGATTTGTACGTGTTGTACTTGCGTATACTGTAATAATACGCTTGCGTATACACATGGATACCGTATAAAGTGATAACGACTTCATAACTTTGCCCAGTTCTTAGTTTTGACATTTAGAGTTAACGTAAACGTATTAATACGTATTGTAGTACAGTAATTGCACTTCCGTATACTGTATTAATACGCGTACGTAGTACATAGATACCGTTTACGTACCTCCCTGAAGTTGAGTTAAACTTCATTTTTAACTTTAATCAATTACTTTTAATCAGTTTTCACTTTTACGTACACAGGTATACGTATACCGGTTCATTAGAATGACGTAAGCGTAGCTCCCTAACGTATAGGAAATCCATTTTATCAGATTTCACTTGGACCCCTAGGGGGGAATCAATATTCAAGTCAGGGGTGGGTCATTTTCCCGTTCAGTGAAATGGCATTTCACTCATCACATTACCATTCAACACCCCAGCTACTGCTTACCGGCTGTGCAACTTGTCTTTCTCAGGAATGGTAGCGTGTCGCTGCGTCAAGGCTTCGAAATAGCCGCCACTGCTCTCTTGGTAAACCGATCAAGGATCCCGTGTCGCCACCGTAAATGCTACGAAGGCAATACGGCTGATCGGTGGATCCAAAAAGGACTGCCGAATTCGTTCCTGCCACTGCCACATATCATTTCCAAAGAGTATCTGTATGAAACTTTGCTACGTCACAAATTTGGGGGGCGTTTGTATAATAGTTACCTGCACCGTCGTGCCGGCTGCCCGATGCGTGACTAAATACACTGTGGCGCTGACAAAGTATGGCTTATTTGTTTCGGAATAGACGGACGCAGCGATAAAAATCGCAGTGAAAGCGCAACAACGGGGCGTCCGTGCCGATGTTTTCGTTAATGATTTTTAGCGCTTCTCCCAACAGCCGAGCTACTGTCCCTCTTTTTCCTTTGGTAGAGCGCTCCTGCCTTTTGGACGTTTCATCTAGAGCACTACCGCACGGCTGCACTTCCGGCTTCTTTCCGGCAATTGGCTTTGATAGAAGAAGGCTATCCAGGCGGTCCGAGTGCGGTCCTGCGTCCTCACCATCTGCTGCGCTGACCATACCCACATGAGTATCCGCGTAGCCGATAGGTCCCGCGTCGATACGGACGCTATGCAAACCAAATCTCTCAGCAGGTATTTTGAGGTGGTTTTGCATGTAGATAGCGCCGAATGCGCACTCGCTCTGTGCAAATAAACAACACCAGTAGTTAATAATACCTTGGCATGATAGACAACTATTGCGTTGCAACCGCAGAATAATACAGCGGGCTGCACTGTCGCTCTCGAGCATTTGTTACCCATCTGATTTACATAAGCCCAGTCCTGACACTCGCCAATCAGCCACTAATGGATTGCCACTGGCGGCATTTTATACTGGACCTTGGTACCATCCGGGTGGGTCTTTTCCGCCTGACTCGACTGGTTTGACACACAAATGCACCGCACCGGCATGAGAATCATCTCCTAATATGGTCGCTGACCGAGCACTGTAATTGCAAAGATTGTTGCTTAGAAAACAAATTTTACATGTCAGCGATGATGTTATCTCCGGCCGGGTGGTGGCATTGTATGCAAGGCACATTGTGGAAAAAGTTTCGTAGGCAAAGATAACCGCCTCGATTACCTGGATAGACATGGTCTTTTAAGTAGGCTGCGTGCTCAGCCGAGAGTATCTAGTATGAAAACATGTCCCATGTAATACGCGGATGCAGTGTCAGCAGATCGTCAATAATCCACCGCCGGGCATTGTCCACCAAAACTCCGTCGCGGCTGCGCTTTTTCATTGCAAGCCTGGTTAGAGTATTAAAGGTCCCACAACCTCGGATGTCGTCAAAATAAACGTCGTAATTATCGTAGGCATATAAATCGCGGAGGAAGGCCGTAAAGTGCCCGAACGTGGGATATGCCGCCAGGGCTTGACTGACAATCTCCTCGGCCAAGTATCGATCTGATATATGTCTAGCAGCATGCGCAAAGGCATACTGAATACGTTTCTCTGAAAGAAACAATGGCGGCCCACAACGACTGGGCGACGTCTAACCATCCATGCACGGTGGATCTCCGTGCTCCGCTACTCTGCGGCAAACGTCGTCCGGTGATTTGAAGCGGTCGGCCATTCTGGCTTCCTCAATATTGAGTCACCACCGTCTGGATAAAAATCACTGCGGATTACAGCAGGTTAAAACCTATCACGCACATGGCGTAATTAGAATAACATTCGGTACAATAGTCGCACGGAAAAAAAACTTTATTACTAAGACCATACATATTCAGGATTAGGAAAATGCCGGAAGGAAATAGAATTCTGGATTTGCCGAATGCTTCCAACATACTTGATGTTATATTTTCATACGACGACGACGAGAGTTTATACAGCACCCATCCGAAACTTGCATGTCAGTGCACGCTGGGCGGTTGCAATAAATAACCTGGCGGGCGGTGGTCAGAATTACGGATCAAAGCGACAATTATGCCGGCAGATTACGCAAATTTCCTGTACACCGCATTGCACCAAGCATAGGATTGCACCATGACGTACTGCCATACGCCGTGTAAGTTATTGTACGGCCGTTTTCAGCATGGTCAGGGTTTTTTCGCAGTTTGACAGTGCACATTTTCTGTTAAACGTGTGCATGGGCATTTTTTAGTTCTCAGTGCTGTCGTTGTTTTCTACATGCAACCGATATGAATTTCTCATATTGCCGATTTATTTTTGCCATTCCATAATTGTCTGAAGACCGCCAGCCGATCTAAACTATCTGGGCGGACTTGCTGTTTCAATTTAAAGTGCTGCTATGGCGCAGAAAAACCGCGCTGCCCGTGTTGTGCGTGCGAAGAGCGAAGATGATATGGATGTAGAAGATGCAGCCCCGATTCTGCAGATTCCTGCCGCTGCTGCAGGAGACAACCCCAGCCAACCTCAAAACCTCACAACAACCTCACAACCGGCAGCAGCGTACGGACAATTGGCAGAAGAAGCCAAACCCGACAGCCGCCATGTCGGATCCGTCAAAGCTGCCCTTGGCGCAAAACATTTTTAGGTAACCTGCTCGTCCCTGGGTATAGTCTGTGTGTTATCGGTGCATACAACATAGTGAGAATATCGGCCCATCCAGTTCCGTTGCCCGGTTTGCAGTGCGCTTGAATGGAAACTGTAGGGACAGATTAATTAATCCTGACGTGTGCGGCGTCTTCTAGGACCAACGACAGTAGATTTGCGGACGCAGGTGAGAGTAGCCGCAGATGGGGCATGGCTTTGCCTGCGCCCATTAAGCCGCCCCTGGATGGATAAAGTATGTCTGACCAACTTTCAAGACTGGGCAATGGACAACACTTCGGAGGTGATATGTGCTGTGGCTGATGAATTTGACGATATCATCCAAAATGCGGAAGACCTACTGCGGAAGATAGAAGCCAACAAACATGCGGCTATTTTGACTGCGATCACTGGTACACATGCTGACGATATTTATCGAAAGCAACCTTATTATTATTTCTTTAAAAAAAAATTGCATTTTTTTAAAATTTGTTTAAATGCCCACATGATGTGCAGATGATCTATAATACCGTACTGCAGTTGAGTATTCGTGCAGGTAGAGGTACGGAAATGTTATGAAACTGTATCTACATAATAAGCGGTATTATGTTTATACAAGAAACACCTCCGGCTTTCGCCTCCGGGGTTTCTTGGATCATTACGATTAATTATGATTTCTTGTATTTTATTTTCAGTAATCAATTTAGAATGCGTAATCGGAACCAGATGCGTCGTAATAACGGCAGAAGCGGATGATTTATTATAGAAACAGTTCAGTGTGGGATGTGAGGCATAAAATAAGCATGTGGTTGAGAGTAAAGATAATTTGATAATAAAAATAAAAATAATAATAATAATAATGTCATGATAATAATAATAATTCAAGGTTTTCGCTTCGGTTTTTTCGTTTGATGTTTTGCCGGTGACTCAGTCGTTCGTTTCGGATTTGGTTTGGTTAGATCTGGTTGTGTGCTCTCGATAGATCGTGAAGTTGAAGGAATGGGAGATAGTGCATTAGAAGTTGACGGAGTACAATATAATTCAAGGGGCATCTTGTCGATGTATTGCTTGTTGATAAGATCAGTAGCGAAGTTGATCGTGAATTTGGAGCCTAAAACGTTGACGTAAAAATGACATTAGCGCAAATTGTGTTCGTTGATGTAGCGTAACTGGTTTCTTATATAATCCAATCGCTCTTACTCGAATAAGTTGTAAAAATCAGCTATGGGTTCATTAAATACCAATCCTAAATAATGCAGGATTTTGGGTCGCATAGTTAACGGAGCAAAAATCATATATCTTATCGAAAGCCGCAACCGTAAAAACGATTTTGTAATGGAAAATAATCTCTGTACAAATAAATATTTTCGATTTTACCGTTATCGTTGAATATAAATGTTTGCTGGTTGATGCAGAACAGTTCACCCGATCGGAATGCTACTCCCGCAAATACGCAAATCCGTTTTTCGTATTCTACGGTAAACATCTCAGCCTAAAATACATAGCGGCAATACATTTCAGATTAAATTTCAGTTAGAGAAAATTGTTTGTCGTTTACCATTGGAAAAGGCACTTGCAGTTCGATCGGCTCTTCGATTTCGTTATCGACAATGGTAACGAGGCATCCGTCTTTATTCTGCTTGATCGAATCCACAAGCGCTAAAAACGCTGAAGTATACGAGCTTTTAATATTTGCGAAAATTAAAAAAAATCTAATTATAAATGCCTGTAATCGGCCGCTGGATATAGGAGCATATATCAGTCAATTCTGGTAGTACCGGAAGAAGTTCAAGTTGCCGAATTATGTTTTGGTATTATGTTTATATAAAGTTAAACTTGTTTTTACACAACTTTTTAACTTTTGTACGAAACTTGATTTGTAGCACGCCGGATCCGGACCCTTGCCAAGGAACAAGAGCCCAGTGGAAGCTGGCGACGAATGATAAAAACTGTAATACAATGCTTTTGTAGTAGGATTATGGTGAAAATTATTGTGTGCATGGTCTTGATAGGTGTCAGCCTATAAGAAATTGATGCCGGACGAAATGACCGTCTTGATCGCTTTGCAATCCGATAGGGACGAAACCAGGGCCAAGCGAGACCGGGATCCACATATTGTCCTCCTCCGGTCGATCTATAAGGCGAAAATGGACGAAAAACCACGGAATGGACAGCTGGATGCTATGCCGCCGGCTGAGAAGTGCTGGTTCAAGCCCTATATTGATGACGACGTTAAGCACTCATCTCCATTTAATGAAGATGACGAAGTAGCGGTCATGAGTAGTTTTATTTATGCCAAAAAAAACCAATTTGCATGATCCTTTGCCGGTTTCTATGTTCAGACTGGAATGGACTGTGTAACAGGAACTTCTGTTTTTATTTTATTACAGCAGCAGAGTAGCTGAACCGACGACGAGTGGAAACATTTTACGGAGATTGTTAGAGTACCAGAAAAGGCGTGGCCTGTCGGCTTGATCGTACTGCAAGCCATAGCCAACAGAAAAATCACGTCGTCGCCACTCAAGGGCAAAAACCCTTGTATCACGTATAGCGGGTGCCGTAAAATAATGCCCGGAGACAATGAGGACTGGATCCGTGATCGTCTGCCTAAACTGGTTAAAACACTAAAAACAGGCAACTTTAACACGCTGCCGTCATTCAAGGTATGCCGTGTGCAGTAAGTTAACCTTGAGAAAACAGCTTTTGAATGTGCCCTTTTGGATATCCAAGCAGACACGAAATAGAAGAGCAGCCCGCGCGGCAGCAGAAGCCCTTCGGATGAATCAGCCGGTATCGGTAGCCCCTGGTGCCAACCAAAAGAAATGCAAATCCAAGTCGACAAAGCAAGCACTGCCGGTGGCCGGTGCGGAGATGGGTTCAAAAGCCATGGACCGGACGGAATCCGGCACCGGGTCATCAGTGCAGATCTTGGCTACTGAGGTAAGGTTAGTGCGGTCGAATAAATATTTATTTCATTGGTCACTGCTACCAATGCGATCATACCTGGCACTGACTCACGCTTGGTGTTTATGCGGAAAGTAGAGAAAAAACTTCGGCCAACAGAAGAAGCCGAGTGCAGCCAGTAGCGCCCAAGAAGAGTGCGGCCAAGGTGAAATTCGTGCAGGCGTTTGATGAAGCGGAAGAGCCGTGGGAAAACCCTTACTATCACTTTTTTGGTCAGTAATCGTCAATATTTGCAACAGCTCGAGTGACCTTATTGCGGTAACGTAGATAAAACTGGTTGTTTTGCAGTTATGCGGAACATAGCCCAGTCAAAAGCCTTGGTAAGCTGTTGGCTGGCATGTTATGAAGTCAGGTCAGACCTGTTCGTCTTGTCTTTAAATTTTCGTTTTTAAATTTTTTTTGTTGGTAGTTTGCTCTGCTGGACGAGGGTAGTGTCATTGGGCTGCGGGCAAATTTTCATATTATTGGTCGTCGCCGCGTGTTTCTGGCGATTTCCTCAGTTGTGAATGCTGATGTTCCGCTATTTTCCGTCGAGCTGTTTGTTCGAACCGACGAGAGAGCAGGGATGATCAAATTTCGAACTAGCTCTGCCCATCCTATGGACATTACGTGGAACACTCTGGATGTCATCCTTACCAGAGAAAATGATGGTCTCAAGGTTCAAAGTGGACGATTTCATGGATTAGCCGGCACTGTGAGCGAGAGTACGGAAGATGTGGTTAATTGGCTTAATACATCGGACGAATATCGACGGAGGAATACTAGCGGTCTGAACGCATTCTTTGACGATCTGATCGCCAAGGAGATTAACGATTTTCATCGGGACAGGGCTTCCAGTCAGCAGTCCCTCAGGCCCAGCTGGACGCCGCAATGGACTCTCCCGCGCTGGCTTTTCTACATCCGAGCGCTGTCGCTCGTCTGCGCCGAAACGACGCATCCGGGCCGGTTGCCCACGCCCGCACGGTTCGCTGTTCCTGCAACATGTACCCCTTTTGCTGTGGTATCAGCGACTGGAGTTATCCGACGTTCGACTGGGGCTAGTCCGGTTTCTGCGTTGCAGTGTATAAATTTCAATACTTCTATGTCTTGGCTTTCATACTAGTGCTGACAAAATACATCAGATTGCGCTATTTTCAACAATCCGGTTCAAAGTAGTTGTGCGTCCCGCATATCAATAAAGACAGTTCAAAGACAAATCCCGTTTCTACGCTAAAAGGTTAAAGCAGTCAGCATTAAGTGCAAAACACTTTTGGTTGCCCCGTTTTGTTTAAAACATCATTTCAGTGAATAATAGAAAAGTGATATGAAACGCAGTGCACTATAACACCCATTTATTTAGGCGTTATATGTGGGCGTTAGACAGCGTTGCAATTTACAACAAAGTTCCAGGTCAATTTTCTCTTTTTAAAGTTGAGAAATCGAAAATCGGAAATATCGAGCAAACAGACACAGTACAGTAAATACTGCACTTACAATTATTAATAGCGGTGAACTTAACGCGAGGGTTAGGCAATTATGGACCAACTCACTTTAAAGGCTGTAACATTCTACTGTACGTAGTTAAAACGCTATCGTGCCTATTTTCTAACAGCAGGATAATTTTGCTGCCGAACGGTGCGTCGTGATCAGCACAATACCGTCACCCTTCGCGTAAACAGCAGCCTGTAAACAAAACGAGTATCGTTGAACTGCATTCGAACGCTTCGAAGTTTTTTCACCCCCTAAGCGGATCGATTGCATAAAAAGGCTTTTCCCAAAAAGTGCCCATTACAGCTTCTCGAAAAAAATTTTTATAGATTTTAAAAATGATTTTAAAAATTTTGAAACGCTATATCTTTTTCCCGCGTTAAGCTGCACTTCTCAAACTTCGGCACTTTCGTGTTATACCCAACCTGTTATCCTGGGTAACACTTCTTTGAATTATGTACAATAGTATTAATGCAGTTGTGAAACAAACATAAAACATGAAAATTATAAACAATATTTATAACCGAGCTGACCGGCTCACACTAGGCTGCGCACGCCAGTGAGAGACAGAGCGTAGGGAAGACACAGCGCTGTAACTTCGATGTATTCACATGATATCAACTAACACCTTTGGTGCAGGCATTGGTTCCTTTAATTCCCACAACAGTATGTAAATTACAAAGCTTATGCTTCTTGAGCAAAGGGGAAAAGCCATTTATGCGACACTGAACGCAAATATTTGATATTTGATAGAGAGTCGGAGTCACTCCGACTCTCTCCCAACGGTCCTTGTAAGTCTTTATCATTGTATTGATATAAACAGCTACCCGGGTAGAGCGGTGTTGCGGGATTGTTCGCTAAGCCTGTACGCGATTCCGTTCCATAAACCGTATTGCTAGCATCTCTCGAAACCAGATACAAAACGCCAAAACGGTATACGAACCATGCGCTTCGCGATGACTACCCTACAAAAACGCTTTAGCCGCCGTATCCATCCTACCGCCACAACCGCGCCACACAAACCAGTAACGACGATCCTGGATGGCTGGATGAAATTATGTGAATTAATGCTGAAAACCTGCGGAATCTGTCCTTTATTTACAATACACAGCGCATCCACATCCTTTACGGTCCTTGCGTATCTGTGGATCGTGATCTTCACCGCACTCCGCTGCGTGTACCTCTTCCTGGTGGTGGTGCCACTGTTCCTCCACGATCTAACCGGGACGCTGGATAGTTTCATCGAGAACATGTGCTCGAAACTGGCGGATGTCGTTGTTTTTGTCGGGGCGGTATCCATCGCGGCGCAATGGAGGGGTATGAGGGTGCATTCAGCGGATACGCCGCTATGAAGAGGCTTACTTTACACCGCACGAGACCGGTTTCCTGGTCATCCTGTCTACCGTTCTGCTGACAGCGTTAACGACATTACTGTACGTCGAAGAAAGTAACGGTTTTCCTCTTTATTTTTACGGCGGTTCATCGGTTTCCGTGCAGCACATGCTGCAGAGTTTAGCGCACATGCTGCACATGCTGCAGCCGCACATATGATAATTCATAAAGTATTGTACCTCACAGTGTAGGGCGTAAAAGAGGAAATCAAGCAGTCGGTTCGCGGTTCAGAAATTATACTCGACGAACAGTGTGCAACAGGAACACTTCCAGTAAGCATAAACTATAGTACTGGATTTGGAACCGAGAAACGCTGGTTTGCGCAGTATGCATTTGAACAAAGTTTCTACTTTTTGGAAATAACCGGTTTTTAAACAGGTGACCCGGTACATGGTACCACATTCGTCAATATGCAGGAAGCTTTCAGTTTCGAGCATTCCCAAACACTTTCCTGAAATTTTAAACCGAGGTTTAATATTGCCCAAACAACACTTGAACCATTTAAGTCATACAGAGAACGAGAAAAGCTTATTTCAAAAACTATGAAGACTCGGCACTCAGTCGTTCACGGCGCAACGCATGCGAAAGAGAGGAACCGTCATAAAAGAGGAAAAACGGTTAATTTTCTTCCAGGTACCAATCCGCTGCCTGGTTTCGGTTGTCCCTGCGCCGAGCGGCCACCATCGAAGCGGATTTCTGGGCGGCACACTACGGGGTCATGGTCTTCCGCACCTCCACTCTCCTCAACCACACCTTCGCCATCCTCAACGTGATGCGCATCGCTGCGGTGTATGCATCATCGGGATGTGTTTTCTGGTGTGCCTGGTTTCTGGCCGGTTGTGTCAGCGGATCAAGCAACGTCTCCGCGGTGAGACGGACACCGTACTGGTGGATACCATAGTACAGGACCATACCGCATTGTGCCGTTGTATTAAGCGCTTCTCCGAGCACCTGGGTGTGTTTTTCCTGCTGTTCTATCTGCAAGCGACCTTGTGGATCGTGTGGATCATCAACAGTGTGGCTGGATCTCGGTCCACGGTGTATTTATCGGCCGGTGTGCAGATCCAGAGCGGAATTGTCCTGCTGATCGTTTTGCTGACCATTACGCTTGCTATGATTTACGTGCACGAACAGGTAATTTAAATTTCATGAAAAGTTAATTTAAATAAGGTGAACTAACTTATCGTTAGCGTCGTTTGTCCAGCTTAATTTTTTAAGCTCATAAATCTTAAATTTAAAACACTTTATGTATGTGTATATCAGTAAATATATAATATGCGGACACAGTAGTATGTGTATTTGTATATGTACACCGTAGTATGTATTATTGTATATTTAATGCAGTATATAGACTATATACGTACACTTTATGTATGTGTACATAAAAACACTTTTAATATGTATGTCCCCATCAATAAGCAACATATGAATCATAGTAATATCGGTACATTGATTTAGACGTTTACTCAGATGGAAAACGTATGGATCACAATCACCCTTAAATCAGTGTTTTTTTGTCTTGAAAAAGACAAAATTTGTCCTGGAATTATTCTGTCGTAACCCGGCAAAAATATCTAGGTAAAAATACTGCTTTTTTCTCTTGAAACTCTTTGCGTCTGTCTCCTAAATTTCTGTACTTTGTATTGGAATACTAATTAGTTATTTGAAGACCGTTTTGTGTACGTAGCCATTTTTCGTATTTAATCAACATGAATTTACTGACGGTTTAGATTCAGTAGTTGTTGGGGATGAGTGTATGGAAAAGTTTTCGAAATTATACCGGCAAGTTGGCAACGAACATGTCAGTAATCCCGCTTTGCATATCTTTTCTGAAAAATGCATTTTTCCTCCTCGGTGGACAACTACCAGTTTCTATATGTCACCCAACCATCCACACCAATTTCGTTTGATAGCACTGAGCATCCAGTTCGATTGTCATGCAGTTAGAGAATACCGGTACATTGTGCGCAGTTTTTAGTACAACGATTCGCAATTGCTACTTCCCAAAACAAAGAAATAGGTATTAATTTGTAATAAGATACGTACTGCTGCACTGGCCAGGCGGTGTAAATAATTTTTTGCCTGAAAGAGTCAAGGATAGACACGGATGCTGTCAGTTTACATGCATCCCAATAAATACCATCAGTTAAATTCCTTGCCGCCTGCCGGATAATTAGTAGCATTGGAAAACAAAGGGAAATCAAGAATTTCCGTGTTGGTGCAGCGCGGTACGAAGATTGCGCTCGACTGAAACATCAAGTTTTGTCGAGCGCATTCACTAACAACTAACAAGTGCTGCACCCGCAATGGAACTGTATGATACACGCAGCCGTTGGGATGTCACTCTGTGTGAATCCTGATAAGAGACTTTTTTTGACATCAGTGATGTACGCGTACGTGCCCTTTGCTATGACATTGCGTTTTCAGCTATGAACCGTTGAATGTCTTCTGTTGATTGACCATAACGATTAATGAATATACAGTACAAGTAGAAACATGCCTAAATAATAAAATAAATGAATTACAACTTGCGCGGTGTTCTTTTATCTTTATGTATAATATGAACAATGTATATGTTGTTATATTATAGAGAGGTTTATTGTGTAGATGAATATAGATGAATTTAGCTTTACCACCGGCAAACTATCAGATAATCAGGCATTTCTGTTGGATTGATTGTGTTAGTTTGAAGTACTGCATACAAAAGCGGACCGTTTCAATGGATGCATAATTATAAGAAGTACAAAGTAGTACAATGTTCAGTAATTAACGTTATCGATTAGCATTTCGCGGCGCTAATGAAAAATTTCATCTGCCGACTGTCACACTTACAGTGCCTTATTACGTAATAATTATTACTTACAGTGCCTTGTTACAATTTACAAAGTAAGTATACTCTGTAAATTTTAATAATTTAGCTGCTACAAAAATAAATCAGCTAGCGATATCGCTGTTATTGTGCGCACTCTGTCTCTCTCTCTCTCTCTCTGAGTCTGAAGGAGATTAATTTAAGTAATACTTAATTTGGCGCTACCATTACTACCGGGAGTTTTTTGGAATGCAATAAAATATATTATAATTACATCTTTGGCTAAGCTTCTGGCTAGCATGCAGGGAAAAAAATAAGGTGATTTGCGCTTATGCATAATTACAGTGTTAAGCGCACATTCCGTAATCAATTACGGATTACTACGCATAAAAAACAAGAATGCCCAATCTTTCAGGGTGTAATACAAATTTTTTTAGTAATAGGGTCGAAGTATCGCAATTGACTTAGCTTCTACGTATACACATTAACTCGTGCAAATGATGCTCGTACATCTTCAACAAGATTAATTAATCTTGTAAGTTTATGGGAAGCTGTAGAAGCTTAAGGTGAATTTGCTAGCTAAAATTATTTTAGTATTTTTCGAATGAAATTTGCCGAATCACGACAATATTCATGCTGAACGAGATAAAATTATAACTATCCAGGCGTTATCAGTCAGCGCTGAAAGCGATTTGCATGAACCGACATGCAAACCTGTGTATCGGATGCGGTTTTTTGTGAATCACTCATCCGAAACATATAAAACTGTCTTTCCATATAAATGTTATTAATAGGGTGTGTATAAAATTTAAAAAACTAGAACTTAAATTATAAACGTATTTAAAATACTCGCACTTATCTATATACAGTATATGTACATATAATTTTAAATTTTTATTTTAAATTAAGTAAGAATATAAAAAAATTATAGGCTGACATTTCGGATGAACTGCAAGACACGATCAACGCGGAGACCGACGGTAACAAATGCACCAAACTGCTGGCCGCTCTCCACCGTGTCACAGCAAAACCGACCGGCTTCTCTATCGCGGGAATTATTGTGGTGGATCGCTCATTCATTGCGACGGTCAGCAACCGTCTTTTTCGCAGAAATACTTTTATAAAATTTTTTATCATTAGTTGAAACGTTACACTTTCGTAGTATGTGTATCGTTACAATTAGATGAGTTAATCAAGATATATTTTCTGTCATTAACCAAAATAATTTATGACATCGACAAGTAAAAGATTTGTTATGAATTTTTATCGTTGATAAAAATGATTGATTTTAATAATGGTTTCGTAAAAATGTCTGCCAATATCTATTTTGTTAGTCTAAATAATTTGTTAATATTTTTTTAATCGCTGATTCAATAATTTTCAACGTGTTTGTAGATGGTTGGCATTCTGTTTTCCTATGGGACATTCATCCTCCAGCTAAAGGAATCCCGCGATGAAGGTGGCAGTCGCCATCATTCTTCACTGATTAATTCAACGGCGACGAAATAAACCGTGACAAGCGGCAAAGCATCGACAATTTTCGGGAACGATTCATAAACATCATTAAATTTCACGTAAAATATGTCGGCGTAAATCGTATAGTTTGTATGCCACGCTTCGTCATGATTTGCCGCCGATTCAATTTTTATGCACATTTTCGTATATACAGATTACAGAGTATATTTTTCCTTAATGTACGTATTTACCAATTTTCGGATAATTTGTCTATTGCATACATTTGTGTACTTCCATACAAATTCTATTTTTTTAAAACTTATTTCTACTCTCTGTTTATTTTTTTACACCTTCCATTTATTTTCTCTCTGAAAATTATTATACACATTTCGGGGAATTCGTACATCAGTAAATTCTACAACGCCTTCACAATCCGGCCCTCAACGCAATTATAGTCAGTAAATAAATTCCCGCCTCCGCATCTGTACAGTACAGCAGATCCCCTTCCCGACAACAAAATAAGGATTTACAATTTTCTATGATTTTTCACAAACAGCGATCATCAGCGATCGATTTTCACATCAGCGATCATTTTCACATTTTTCACAAACGGTTGGCCCGGTTGGCGCGGCGGGCAATATGGTTCATCAGCATCATGAAGAAGCGCTCTTCGCGGGCCGAATGATTGCCCATTTCACGGGCATCGCGTTTCCGCTCGTTGCTGTTCTTATCAATTATCTGTGTTACAAAATGCTTATTAAAATTCGGCTTGTAATTCATTTACAATTGTAATTAATTCCGATTTACCGGAATGAGCTCCTCCAAATTCGCCGGCCCATCGTTGAGGGGCGCCCAAATCTTGGCCGTATGCTCGGATCCCGGGGATGCGGCTCCAGAACGTTCACCTGCACAAACATCGGAATAATAAAGGAAACACCAAAAACAACCGAATTTTTGCTGGTATTGTTGTTTGCCTTACTATATTTTCAAAGTGCACTTATTCTTAAATCGTACGACCATTCGGATTTAAAATGAAGGATGCTAATAAAACAACCACATCAGCGGAGTTGTCGATCAGACAAGAAAAATACCAGAATCACGCACTTCCGCTGTATTCGTGATTATAGAATTCTGTCATACAGAGCACGCAATTTTCAGTTTGTTTTCCTCAGGATAATTTCTATTTTAAATTATGTCCCACAGAAGGAAGCATCATGTGGAAATTTAAGAAATTTTAATAAAAACAACTCATTTTTCTTTACGTACAAACTGCATGTAAGCATCGTTGTAGATATAAACGCGGAGAGATTATGCAGTGCAGCCACTACACTACGCGTACACCATAATTGTATTAGCACGGCTTTCGCTCCAAAAGTAAAAAGCACTACGAGTACCAAAATCGGCATAACTGCCGACGTCACTCACGGAATAAAATACACACAAATCGAAATGATTAATTTAATAATTAATTATACCACAAATTAACACTAATTACAACATAACAAATTAATACTGTAATATAACAAACTAATACTATGTACCGTAATTAAATAAAAATTAAATTTTTAATTACACCGCTTTTATAAAAATATCAAAATGAAACTGTAGAAACTGAAATTAAAAAAATAAAGAATTAACAAGTTTTAATACATATATATTCAAAGTAAATTGTTTTTTAATTTACATAGATTTCTGTCAGTATGTACTAGGAAAAATACGCTCTATAAAAGATGAATAATCACTAATGAACCGGAAGACGCCAGAGAAAACCCCGAAGCCAACAAGAGAAAAGCCCGGACAAGAAACCCTGGCGATGGCTTACCGCGCCGATCTCATCGGCCATCAAACAGTGGATGATCCGCGCCGTCACCTTGTCCCAGAAGAAGACGCGGCCGCAGTCGCTGCCGCTGACGACGTACTCGCTCTTGGCGCCGTAGAAGTTGACGCCCTTGACGGTCTGGTTGTTGCGGTGGCCCTCGTAGTGCTGCAGGTCCACCGCGGCTACCGTTTCGTCCGCGCAGTTCTTAAACAGGAAAATGTGGAAGTCGTTGTAGGTGGCCAGGATTTCTGCAAAATAATCACCGAACCAGCAGATTAATATTCAGAATTAATTTTTTTCCAACATTCTTTTCTTTATCACAACGGCTCTATGTATCGTCGCAAACGTTTCAGCAATATCCAACTTAATTTTCAACAATAATTATTAATTAATAAACATTTAATTAATTTTACAGTAGTAGACGGTCAAGTTACTCATATAATTATTTGGTGCATTTATCAAAAATCGCTGATAAATGGGACAAAAATATTTTAAAAAGATGAATTTAACATACGATTTATATTGCTTCGGAACCTGTCTATATGTATCAAAAATACTTTGTCCCTCATGCAACGGAATTTTATACCAGATGATGAAAAACTGAAAAAATCCCCAACGCACCGGATCCGTTGTAGTTGTAGACCGCCGAAGAGACGCTGACTGCGTTGCTTTTGGGCTGCAGCAGCGGCGGGCACAGGCTGAGTAGCGGCTGGCATTTGGACGGATCCGTGTCCAGTTTCCGCATATCATACGCGCTGCAGTAACAGCACAATTATGAATTAATTTTTGACAAATTCAGCGTTTGAATATTGAAAGAACTTCAGCCATAGAATTACAAAATTTACTTAGTGAACTTAATTAATTCGTGCTTGTTTGATTTTATTGCGAAAAACATTGGAAACCCTACCGAACGTATTTCCCGTAGCCGGACACGACGAATTCGTGGGCGTTGAGCGGGTTGGACATGATGGAGTACAGCGGCACTTTGGAGCTCTTGGAATCGCGCACCACGACGCATTTACGGGCCTTGGCTTCCCGCACGTCGATGTAGTTGACCACGGCGTCCTCGCCGCTGGCCAGAATATGATAATGCGCATCGGCTCGCACATCAATCTTTGAAAGGGAAAAAATAAAATGTTTTCTAACAAAAACATGCACAAAATATGTATACGAAAATTCATTTGCGGATACCTAATGAAAATATTCCACCGAAAACAATTAATACCGCAAAATATACTGCAATATACCGAACAAATTCCAAACATTTACTAAAATCTTTTTGCCGAAATCTGCCGGCAACAGCGCACAGAATCTACGGAAATTAATGCGTGGAAATCCAATAAAAATATTCTACCGAAATAACAACTAAAATGTTGCGCAAAATAATCCGGCACAGAAATCTACTAAAATCCAATCTAAAAAAATTACGAAAAAACAGTTCAGCGAATAAGCAAAGAAACAAAATACTATCTACCAAATAGTCTGATTGAAATAATTTAATTTTCGTATTTTAAGAGGATCTTCAGGAGGAAATCGGAAAAAGGAATGAATTAATTTATCGGCATATTAACCAACCTTATGGCAGGCGCCGTGATGTCGGCATAAATGCCGGATTTTCGGTCGTCCGCCGGCCATCGACAATTCCGCCAGGCACACTCCACCATCCCGCGATGCCGTCACAATCAGTGAATCGTTGCTTAATGGTAAGAATTTCGTCTGCAATCAATCACACGTCCCATTTATACAACATTATGCAGCGCAATCACGCTGCGTTCATCTCTTTTTCCGTAAAACCGACAACGTAGTCCAGTGGCTCAAATTAACTCAATGCACTGTCACCGAACAGTCCCGAATGTTCAGTGCCCCGAGAACACAGCTTTAGATATGCCAGCGATCCGTGCTGACAAGTTTATAGTGTAGAGATTATAATTTTTTCAATTAAAAAATAATCTCTAACGAAATAATATTTTTTGTAAATTTTTAAAATATTTTCTACTATAAGCCGGCTCAACACAAAAATCAATACCTAGCATGCTAATCGCTTTTCTGCGTTTCCATTATCTACAGCAAACAAACGTAGTTCAGTGGCTAAATCCGTAAATCTTCGAAATGACCGAAAAGCATTTGGCAAAACTGATAACAGCAAAAATTAAAAAAACCTGCTCTGATTTTTTGTTCGTAGACATGCCGGTTATAATCTACGCATGCGAGACGCAGTACAGTATTTCCGGGAGTATTAGACAGGAGCTGAACTATTACCTAAATTAATGAGGTACATCAATTTATACATAATTACTGTTATTTCTTACACCAGTTAATTCAATGAGTAACAGTGATTATTGACATTTATTGTTATATGAAGCGGTACCTCGGAATCTTCCGTTCCAGTCGATAGTTTCGTCAATTGGACGGCCGCATCCGACTTTGTGTCGGTTGGTTGCCGTTCCAGGCTGGTCGGTTGCTTGTTGCCGACTTCCTTTTCTCCGACCTCTGTGGTCGGCATCTGTTGACCGACCTTCGAGGTCGGCGAAGTCCTTCCGGCCTGTGTGGTCGGTTGGACGTGGCCGATTTCTGTTGTCGGCTTTTCTGTTCCGGTCGGGGTCGGTTGTTCGACCTCTTTTGTTGGTGGTAGGTCGACCTTCCGTTGGTCGACCTCCATGGTCAGCTGTTGTTGAGCGGCTTCGGGGGTCGGCTAATGGTGTCCGACTTCCTCAATGTCCGAAGTCGGACAACCGAAGCCGATCTCCGATTTTCGACCTGTACTGGACGAGGTCGACTTCGGTTGCTCGCCCTTGGAGTTGGGTGATTTCCGTCCGAACTCGGTGGCTTGCGTAGCCGTTACCGAGTCATGAGCTCTGTGTGAGCTCAACGGTTGATCGGCATGAGACAATGTGGTCTCTGCCTGTAGCTGTTCCGCATCCCCCCCGGTCGGGTGGGACGGGGCTGCTACGTCAGCTTGGGTATCCAGGAATGTTTTATCCCTGGCGTCCTCGAAACTGTCATCCGAAGTTGGATTCGAGTCGGCAAGGAGGATCCGTTCGTTGCGTTTCTCCCTTGCTTTCGCCGACTTAGTCGAGTCGGTTGAGGATGGCTGACTTTTATCCTGACCGGCGTACCGAAGTGAGTACTTTCCGGTCGTGTTGGCACGCCGAGAATAGTCGGTATTAAACTTCCTGGCGTACTCGTCCTCTCGCGGGTTCGACATTGTTGTCGAAGCAGGTCGGCTCTGATGGAGCCTTAAAAGGTTTTATCAGTAAAAAGCAAGTCGAACAATCCTCTGTGTGAGGGTTGTTCGGTGAGATCAGGAACGTCTTTTTGGTTCAGGAACTTCTTTGTGTCAGGAACGTCCGGTAAGATGTTGTTGTTGTTGTTGTTGTGTCTGTTAGTGACTCAGTACACAGGGTATTAATATACAGTACAATGGTACAGTACAGTGCGTAATAGTAGTACGGTGTAGTACGTCCTATGTTACTGTGCTGACCAGTGTGACGTAACAGGTTAAGTGGTCTTGCACTTCTGCCTACGTAACAGAATACGAGCCGCGTGCAAAAGTTTAAAAAAAATGATGATTCACGCCTATGTTAAGCTATGGGAACTTTCCCCTGCACGCTGATTGGCTGCTTCTTAAGTACTGATAAGCGGTCGTTATGACGTCACAAGGAAGTTCGAGAATTTTCGCGCTATTTCCCGTCAGAAAAATAAATTATTTTTAGTCGGCTAGAAAGTTTATCTAGTCGGATTTTCGAGTTTTTAACCGTTAGGAATTAGTTTTATTAATTAAGAAAATTTTCTGGTGGTCGAAACACCGTTAGAAATTGAAAAGAAGAGAATTTCCGACCTGTTGCCGGTTAGCCTTTGTCTAACTGTCTAGACAGGTTCGTTGACCTAGCAGGTCGGTTCTCGACCAAAAGCAAAATTCCGAGTCGGTTTCTCCGTCAGAAATTACTTTTTATCCGTTAAAAAGTTTAAATTTACGGCTAGAAATAGTTTTCTACCGCTAGAAAATGAAAAGCCGACCTAGTTGCGGCTAAAATCGACCTAGAACCGATACTTTACCGGTGTCGGTGTCGGTGTCGGTTCCGCTCGATTTCCTCCGTCCGAGGTCGGAAATCGGTCGTTTCCGTGTAGAAATCCGCGAGTAAAGTTGCGGGTCGGTGTTCAAACCGAAGGTCTCCGTATTATTGGATTAATCTTATCGCGCTGCAGACTCTCGTTCGAGTCTGATCCGTCAGTTGGGAATGAAAAAGTCCGTGCGTTCGGGAGTGTGCTCTTCAATGTGGAAGAGACGAAGAAACTGTGCTCACCAGCTGGGCAAGAATCACTTCAGTGATCCTCGTTTTTCCTCAGCTGTAAAACGATGCGATCTGTGTGATCGACAGTCAACGCAGAGATTGCTTCAGCAATCTATCTGACAGTGACTGAAAAGGGTCCCAGACGAGTTCTCCGTGAATGAAGCCTTCACCGTCTCCTCAGAGATCCCGTAAGATCGAAAACCATAAGAAGCTGCTACCATGTAACAAACAAGCACGAGGAGATCACGAGTGAGCTTTATTGTACAGATAAAGGGGGAACAATGCTGCGTAATAGCAGGAAAGCAAGAACAAAAGCACTGATGGCTAAATAGCAAGTGGATGCTAAGTGGGTTCTTGAGCGTCTGATGGCGTGAAAGAAGCAACTGGCGGCAAGCACGTGCTGTGTGCCATCAGCTGTGTGATGATGCGCAGACTGGACTCTATCCAACGCGAGCGTATGAACGCTGAGTCATACTGCGAGAGAGGGACGAGAGAGCAAGTGTGGCTCAGCGTATGCGCTGCGTATATCCGCTTCAGCGGATGAGTACAGTGCAGCAGCACACGTACGTACAAGCGAGAGAGGCGATAACGGCAAGCAATGGGTGCAAGTACGTCCTGTGTGGACTGTACGCACCAGGCGCAGTCGTGCGCCTCTGACATAACCCTCAAGAGAAACAGTGCAGCTATTTTACCGTGTTTTCGTTTGTTTATTTTTTCGTTGTGTAACCCTAAAAGAGAAATAGCGCAGCTTTTTTCTATGAGTTTTGCACATTGCTGCAGGCGAGTACCGCAATTTCGTGGAATTAATAATTTCAGTTGAGCGTTCATTTCCGGCACCTTGCCAGACGATCGTATAATGAATATACGGAATGATGGTCAACTAGTACTACAAACGCATTACGTCCAGTAAGCATTACTTACAATCACTTCATTCTGGCCGCGGCGAAAACTAATAAGATACACAGTCACACACTACTGCTCTGGCGTCACCGCAGGCGATTTATTACAGCAACGTTAACGCCGCTGCATGTATCATACTTGCAGGGAGTCCGCCACCCGGCCTACCACTCAGCCACTCTGCGACCAAAACGAAGAATCAGATGCCCTGTAATTCCCGACATGACGGAGGTGTCAGTCAGCCTAAGCATAGTTAGAATGTAATTTAGTTACGGATTATTGACTCCAGTTACGGATATATAGCATTCAGTTACGGATAACTAGGCGTAACTGCTCGTTTTATGCAAAGCTGACGAGTACATTAAGCCGCATCAGTTATTCGTGACCTTACACGACGCAGTATTGTACGCACTACGCACTCAATGTTCAGCGTCGCGCCGGAAGCAATAGCGCTGCTATGAATGTAAATCGGAGCCTGCCATTATTTTGCCCATTACTTAGAAATTTCTAAGTAACATAATTAACTATATTTTCAGATTCACAATAAATTAATGAACGTCACTACATCGATTTCGCCCGTAAATTGCTCAAGCTCGCTTTACGGGCCAGCACATTGCTCACCAGCAACAGCCGCTCTCTCTGTTCTGTGTCTCCGCTCACTCGATCAGGTGCGCATGGCTAAAGCCGCAAAACCGGTTTTGCGGCTTTAGCCATGTGCTGATGTCCATTTTACGCGAGTGAGCAACCAGCTGACCTGTACAGTGAGCTTAAGCAATTTACGGGCGGAATCGATGTACTGACGAAGCCGCGCCGCCATCCGGGAAAGTAAGCGTTGCTTACGAAGCAGCACCGTCATCCAGAAAACTAGCACTACTGCTTACGAGTACGTCAACAGGCTATTCCAACGGCATGGATCCATAGACTCATATGCGTCATCACGAAAATGATAGGCAACTGCAGTAATTTAGTACAGAGTTTTAAATGTGTATGTAAGTTGCGCTTATTGCATTTTTGATTTTTTGTTATATATTCATACCGCATACTGCATTATTTAGAGGTCGTAGAAAAGTCATTTGAAAATATGTCATGAATGAACATTAAAATGAACTACCGAAAAACTATATTTTGCCGTATTTTACGTCCCTTTTGGCGATGAGCAACATTCTGATAAGTTTTGTTACAAAACCATGCTGGACGGTAAACTGTCACGGCTTCATAGTGCTCAGGCAATTTGGGCATTCGCAAATTACACTGTTGTTCCACACAGGCAGGTAGTACTGCAACAGAGAAGCTGGCAGCCAGTATTTAAGAGACTAAAACATATCATTAGTTTATTAATTTCGTTTTCGAAGACGTCGAACTCTCTTCTTCTTCGGTGACCCATCGGCGTTCCCATCAGTGTACGGTGAGTGGGAATCCGAACTCGCACTCGCAGCCGACCTGATCCCAATGGAAAATCCATACTGAGGTGCAGCCTTGGATACGCTTTTTGTGATGATCAGAGGCATGGCGACCTGAGACCGATAATCATCTTGATTGTCCAGCAGTGGAACGGTGTCGCTTTGATACAGTCGGGAATTGGAATAGTCATAAAATTCCTTGGATTTCTCGCAATTAACATTGAACCACCAATCGCAGGTCAGGGTAATTTGGTTAAAAATCTGGAAACGATATCACACAATTACTGGATTGCACAGTTGCACTCAAGGCGATTTTATCGGTATTGCCAGAATGATATTGTAGTGCATTTTGAGTACCCTCCTGTCGCTTTTTTTTTCTTACCGACATATTTGGACAAAGGTAACTGTATAAGATATTGTCCAAATCACAGCGACGAATAACCTGACAGTGTGTCGCAACGTCAGCATAAAACCCCGCTTGATGAACGGAACTACAGGAAAAACCGGTGTCCGGTATATCGCTGTACACAGGAAAATCAATGCCGGGTTGGACAGTGTAAAACAACTCCTGAATGTCCTCCACGGATAACGCCGGTTTACCACGCAGTTGATTTATGGCGTCCCAGACGCCGGGTATCTGTGGGCGTGTTTGACCAACAACCTGCAGCAGATGTGTAAATACAATTGCAATACAAAAACATAAATAATGGTACACTAGCTATAGTTACAAAACAGTTGCCAGAACGTGTCAACATCTTTTAATAAGCGCAGATTTAGCAAATATAACGCTGGTAATCACTCGGCTGATACGTTATATTACCAATGTCGCGGTGATACTCCATACTGCGAAAATGCCACAGACGACGGCAATAAAGCGCGGTTCCATACTAATCATCTGAATTTACGCGCTCTTTCGCGATCGTTTCTCTGTAGCGACTCTACACCGGCATCAGCTCTAATGCACGGAATTATTTATGATTATAACCAGAGCAGGCATTTCTGGATCCACTGTGAACCGACACAATCTACCTAGCGGAGAAGGATTATTATATTGCGCTTTAATGCACTTGATGGTAACGTAATTAAAAAATGTGGAGTACGGCGGGAGCACTCTCAATAATTGGGATAAGGCGCACAGCAGATATAACAAACAAATCCACGAAAAACCGAGGAAAAAAATTTAAACGCTCTACAAATGGCTTCTGCTGAATTTGTCACATGTTTTGATATAACAGTACGGCGCTTCTATTTTATGGGAAATGGGTGATTATCCAATATCCACTAAAACTACCACCCTGGGTTAAACGTTAAGGAACGAACACGAGTATTTTTGTTGTGCATCACTAACGAAAAAACTGTTTTCGGTATTTGCCACTATGCTTATTAGAGTTGGTTATTGCTAAACGAAGGCGTTTTCTAGACTTTTTTTAGTGTGAGATTTGAGCTAATGTTAAACGAGTTCATTTTCACATGCTATAATTACGTGTGCGAGGGTTCTACTACGCCGACGGAGCGCACTACAATTCCCCGCAAACGCCTCCGCATTTATATGTATGTAATGGAATACTACTTGTTTACTACAATCATCACATAAAACACAACCTAATTACATCCCGGTAAATGTCGGCAGACAGCGATTAAGTAATGCCAAAGAGTTTGTAGACCGTTATTTCGGCTTCACTGAGTTTTCCGTGCTGCACGGAATTAAATAGTGATACGGGTTACAGTGAATAGTGATACGGGTTACAGTGAAACCGTCAGATGCATTACTGTTTCAAAAGCAGCTAGTAAAATTGTAGCATCTCATAATTAATAAGTATTTTACTACGGAATGCTAGATATAGCTTTCCAGTTTACAAGCAATAACTTTTCCGGAAGCTCCGATCTAATGCTTGTGTATAAATGACATCTAATAATAACAAATTAAAATTGCATATAAATGTATGGATTTATGTGTGTACACGAGATTTCTTAAATTATGAATGCATTTTCCGTCTCTCCATTGAATTAAACATGCAAATTTTTAATACGATCCTTGCATGATATAAATCTCGTCGCCCGTTCTCGCGGGAAAAATGTAAAATACATTGACTTGCAATTCATAATCAAGAAAACTTTAATCATGAGCTTTAGTGTTATTTTTGCATCTTAACGCCGGTTGCTCTCTTTCCGTACGAGGAAGAGCTACCTTGGCCCGATCAAAGGCACATGCGCGACCATAAACCGATCACTGTGCCCGTGTATGTGCATGCTGGGTCACGTGGTTGTGTAATACGGCTAGCCACCCAGCGGTGGCAGCGCATGGAAGTCAGCACTTAAAACAGCACAGCTGCCACAGCAGTTGACCAACCACTCATTTGTTTTTTACCTATTTTTAAACTTTCAACCAGTATTTTAAAATGTGAAGAAAAATTGAACTTCTACACACATATCCCTTCCATTTCAAACCAAGAAAGTTATGCGTGGTGGAATCTCTTGTAGACATAGCACGGGACTTCAGGTCACGGTTCCAAGAAAGAATTTCACGAAAACCCAAGAGTTTGTAACTCACTTGGTTCTCCTGGTAAAAATAAAACTTATGCCTACCTTTTTCGCATATGAAATTTATTTTAGAGACTCTGAAGAAAGGAACGCTCGCTTTAACTGGATAAGTTGGATTTCTTAATGGATGTTTAAAACTGACGTTTACGCGCTGGTGCTTGCAATCGTTTACGCGCTGGTGCTTGCAATCTGCCACCGCGGGGCGGTTAGCCGTGCTGCACGCACATGGAAACAGTGATCGGTTAATGGTCGTGCATATGCCTTTGATCGGGCCAAGGTAGCTCCTCCTCGTATGTATACGTATGGTAGAACTTGTAGAAATACTGCTAATAATTAGAGACCTACATATAAATTTGCAGTTCATACATTGATTTTCAGCTTTCGTACAGAATCATCCATGATGCATGTGATACTAAGTCCGCTGATTAATTTACGCATCGCGGTCACCATATACTGAGTCCGAGAATGTCCTTGGGGAATCTCACGTGCAATTGGCGAAAATAGCCGTTATTTTTGCGCGTCGAATATGTAATATTATTACCATCCTTTGAACAGCCGCTGGTATAGAAAAGGGGAAAACAGAGCCTAAGCGATTGACTATAGCGAGAAGATGTCCTGCGTCAGCCACAATAACGCTCTCATAAGGAAGCTTATTAATTTTGGCAAGCTTTGAATTAAGGCTTATTTTTCATCTATGGATTTCTCCCGTTGGCGACGCGCGCGATACCCATTACGTTGGTTATAAGCGGCATTAATACATACAAGCAGCATATACAGACACACACAATTGTACATACGTCCTAAGTGGCATTAATAGTCCAACGTGTGTTGTCCCACCCCGATGCCAATCAATGGGGCCTTATTCATTGCTTTAAAAATTGATTGTTTAAATGTAACACAATCCGTGTATGGTCGGGGCGGTTATTTATTTGTCACATTTTTCCCCGTTCCCTATCTATACCTTCCCCATTGAAAATGGGGGATGCGCGCGGTGTATCTACGTACTTAATTCACAGCAGGTTTCGCCATTGCGAGCTAGCGGCTGCCGGCATCTAACACTCTGAACACACACGCTAATATTATACCCAGCAGCACTATGCCACTGTAATCCATCCATCATCTTTTCCTGTAGCTTGGAAAGCTTCCGGTTCATCTCACACGTATGTACGTGCGAGAACAGGTGGTGCGGTTCCATTGCCGAAAGGGCAGCTAATAATCCATTCGGAACACTTGCGTAACGTCTGCTTCCGAATGCATTCGACTGAACCGGCCTTCTGACTTGTTCGGATGTCCTCAACGTTTTTTTACCGGTTGTTCTATTTCCTACCCGGATAAGTTTTTCACAGGACGTACAATTGTCGTGTATTCTAGGGACGCTCAACAGGCCCAGTTTCTGTCGTATTTAAGTGTTGTCTGTCAAAGGTTACAACCACGACGACATTTTCACCGCAATCAGGTGTGCAAGGATATTATTATACTGCAGCGAAAGGTAAGTCAAATCCTTCGTAGTTATTAAAACATTATAAACATACGCATTTATTAATAGCTACACGTAACAAACCTTTTAAGCTATCAAATTAAAAAAATAAAATTTAAATTTATACTACGTACAAATTCATACCTAACAATATCTTTTAAAACAAATGCATTATCGTATTTTACGCAACAGTTTAGCTTAATATATACATCGTCTCATAGGTAGGAATATGGGAATAAGAACTGCCATGGGCTCTGGGCACATGTCATTTGGTGTGCATGCGCTAGTTGCTTATTAAATGAATTATTTTGGTTAATCACCGACGCATGCTCACTAAATAGTCATAATTATTTTAGATAATAATGACGCTTGCATTCGGTGACGATGCCGTCATGAAATGCGAGACTTCATTTGATTGCATCCGTTGTAAATCATTTTCTCATAATTACACCGGCTACATGTAATACTTAGTAACGCTTTGGTAATTGTTATGATATACGAGCATGTACGTACTCTTATTTAGTTTGATCTCGATTGCGTTTGAAACAATACCGGCAACAACACTGTTTAATTTAAAACGGCTTCGAGTCCGCATCTTTCTTTCACAAGTAAACAAATAAATTAATCTCATTCTTTTGTATGTTTTACCAGGTATCTGTAAAGAAATGTCCACCATCAATAAACGATGGGCATCCATCAAATCCATGGTCAAAGAAAAGAAAGTCGTCGTCCTGGCGCGCAACCAATCACCGTCCCCGTCGCCCACCCCGAAAAATCGCAGTCAATCATTGGCCGACGGCCCCCTGGGCACTAGTCCCCAGAATATGCCGCGCTTCCAAATTCCCAAAACCATCACGGAAGTCCGCAGTGACCGGGAGAGTCTACAGCGCAAATCCACATCAAAATCGCCCAACCGCAAACTCCTTCGTCTCAACACCGAGCACAACCTGCTCAGCCAGAACAAATCCGCCCCCTCCAGCCCGGTGGTGACCCACCCGGTCAAAGTCAACGACAAACGCCGCCTGACCATCGCCCCCATGGCCCCCATATATCCCAACTCCCGCGCCACCAGCCCCAGTTCCAAATCGCCCTCCCCGAAGCACCCGGGGGAGTTTATGACCCAAAGGTCACGGCGGGCCTCCTATGCGCCGGCCTTCATCTCCATCAACGTGCAGAGCGTGGAAGAGGATGAGGATAGTCAGGATAATGCGCTGAAGATCGATGAGAATATCAATCTGACATTGTCGCCGTCGTTGAACAGTATGTGTGATCCCAAATACTGGGACAATGCCACACCGGATTATGCCCTGCGCCTGAAACCGCCACAACGGGACCGCTTGTATAGTAGGCGCCGGTCGTCAGCGCTGTCGAATCTCTCGTCGGAGGACAACAATCTCTCCCGCTCAACATATAGTCTGTGTGAACGCGATCTGTACAGGGAATCCAAGGAGAAGATACTGAATTTCCGGCGTCTGTCGTTGGCGCCGCAGTTGGCGATTTCGCAGATTGCCATGCAGAAACCGCGGCGTACGCGTAGTGCTAATAAACTAGAAGCCAAATTAATCGCCGACATGGGCGAACTAAAATTCTCCGTACGGTATTTTGCCGACTGGCCGGGACTCCGGGTGACGGTGATTCGTGGGGAAAATATTGGGGGGAAAATAAAAAACGATGCTCAGGTTAATTCGTTTGTGACGGTGTGTTTGTTACCGGGAAAGCAGCAAAAGCAATCGGGAAAAATACAAAAGGGAACAAAAAATCCCGTGTATAATGAGGAGTTTGAATTTATGGATATGGACTGGGAGACGCTGGAGCATCATTTACTACGTATTAGTGTACAGAATCAGAAAACATTAAAGAACGACGATCTGGGGGAAGTGCTGCTTCCGCTACTCCGGCTTGACCCCGATGTGGATAACCGCATGTGGAAAGACTTACGCAAAAAGTGCCAAAATCCCATGCAGGCAAGTGGTTATTGCCCATTCAAAACGTAGAGTAGACGATAGCAGTTTGCTTTGTATACTTCTCTATATTTGATAAGCAACCTGCTAATTATCGAGTAGGACTTATCCACAAAACAAAATACGCAATAAATCTTACGTATTTGTGAAAACCGTGAGGATGGCAATTCACTATATTCTGTAGTGTGAGACGCAATTAAATTTCGAACATGCGATGAAAATCAGTGATACTATTACAGTGACCTGTCTTACATTTACTTCTGGTGCAGAAACCTATCTGACGTGAGCATAGAAAAATAGGAATTTTTGACGGCACATTATAAATAAACGCCACGAACCGAAGCTTGATTGCAAAATGGAATTAGTGGCTGCTGCTCTGTGTTTTTGATTCGAAATAGTGATTATATGCATTTTCATTTCAGGAAAGTGGTTATCTGCAGATCCGTACCAGATTTAGTAAACAGACCAAAAAACTTACCGTGCTGGTCATCAAAGCTCAAGATTTACTGCGCAGTTCACTAATCGGACCACCCGGTAAGCGATAAAATTGCTCATTATTCATACTTCTATGCATAATTTCTTTGCAATACATATGTACAGGCGGCACTGTGCAAATTTTACGAGACATTCACTCATGTTGTCTGAAATTATCAAAGACCATGTAATATGTATCTGCACTGTCTATAGTCTAGAATATCCAGTCTGTAGAAAATTGCTGCACAGACGCCGCGACGCATATGTTTTGCACAAGCATTGATTCCGTTATCCAGAAAAATTTAATAAAAGCGTAACACATAAAATTTAAGGTAATAAATTTGTCATTTCAGACACCTATGTGCGTCTCGAGGTAATACAAAATGAGCGCAAACTGGACCGGAAGCAGACGAAGCTGGTAAAACGTACAAAAAATCCCATTTACAAGGAAGCCTTTTCCTTCGTGCTGGGCATCTCTCTGGATGAAATTAAACATACCACCGTGGAGCTGACCGTCTACGCTAAAGAGAATCTTTTTGGTTCGGCAGCGCTAGGACAGGTAATTCTGGGCTACGGCAGCACCGAAGAATCTGAACTACGTCACTGGTCGTTGACCATGCGGGAATATGGGAAGGAGTTCACCAAATGGCACGCATTGATGCCTATTGATGACAAGGAAACCTGATCTGGCGGCGGGTGAGCGAGAACGGGAGAAAAAATTGCCGCCCTCATGTTCTTTCCTCTATATGCGGAATTATCTGTCCCACGCATTCCCGTGAGAGAGAATTGGGTCTGATTAATTTTTCCAACCGTTGTAATAATTAGCTTTTAAGACGCCTGTACAGAATATTCATTGGAGATGTGTATATCCCGTTCTATTCAGTATTTTGTGAAAGAGGAGTTGCTGACGCATTCAGCTATCCCGATGCAAAAACGAATCGATATGTAAGCTGTGTTCCGGACAAGAAGCAATAATGCTCTTTCTGATTAAATTCATATTCAAATCCATTCCACGTATACATATTGCGGCGCAGGTAGGCCGACAAATGCTGTATCTTTTTTAACAATATTTCTCTTTCCTTTGAATGAACCCTTTGTAATGCCGAAATGCATTTTGGTAGCGATAACTAACAATAGCCATAAATTAGTCAGTAGCTTTTAATAAATGCAGCAAGATTATCACACCTACAACGAGATTAACTGTTCACCCAAGAAGTTCAGAACTATGCACAAGCCAAATTAAAACTTTCCACACTTTTAATTAATTCTAGCTGTTGCCAGTGTTTCACTACCTACATGACAAAGAAATCACCTAGCTGCACTAAAAAGATCCTCTTGAAAGCCTTCGGCAATTCGAATGAATTTCCCTGAGCATACGGTACACCTTTGTCCTATCAGGCTTGAACCTGGAAGAAATTAGCTGCGACCACAGCACCCAACTGATAATGTCGTGCGAACTGTTTCGTGCTGAATTTAGCTCGGGATGGTCCTTTGGCCGACGAAGAGGAGCTAATATGCGGCAGATCGAATGATATGCGATCGGGTTGCTCGAACACCATGAACACATATCGGTGCAATCCTGAAAAAAAACGACAAAATATGTGTACGCCATGGGAATAATTTTCCCACATATAAGTAAGTAACTCCCGCCCTTTACGAAACATTCGAACATACAGTACACTAGTTACATACACACAACACACACTGTACTGCACACCAGTAAAATTTGAGATCTATAAATTATTAACAAGGACAAAATTTTGGAGATCGCACACGCTTATGATTACGCAACCACATAATTCGCACCTTCCAAATGGCTTTAATCTACAAAGTATAACGACAGCACTTCGGCAGATATAAATGTGATAATTCAAAATAGTTTAAATGCATCTGGTACTTGAACACTATGCACAGTTATAAATTTACAAATCAGCTGATAATATTTATTTTAAAATAAGTAAAAAAAATACAAAAGTAACTGCTAGATCATCTACTTTTTTTGGATGGTTGCCATCAGCAGCCTCTGATGTTTCTGAGCGCAGGTTGTACTGCTTAAGAGTTAAGAGCAACGTTTATAGAAGCGACTACCGCAAATTTACCAACGTGAATGCAGCAAAAAGAATTACAAGGATTGTATCATAGTACAAAACCCCTAAATAACCCAGTAAATGAACTAGCTACCGAAGTATAAAAAAAGAAATGTACACTGTTTAAGACCACAAAAATCTTCAACAACCATGCTTTCTGACTGATCAAACAAGTTGTGCACCTACCGGAGCCATGCGGAGGCAGCGGAGGTTTGTATTCGGTGAAGATCTTCCCCTCCTTGACATTCCCTCCCGGGATATTCCCCACGAGCCAATGTTGATACTCCCGATTAGAAGGTTGTGCACGCGATGGCGCGTCCGGATCTGCAGATATAACAGCACGCTATCATCGTGCTGCACATCCCAGCCTCGGTGTGCATTTCCACCAATACCCCACTGCCTCACCTACGGCGATGAGCGTGTAGAATTTAGACACATCCGCCGTCCATACCACTTCAGGGGCTTCCTTCACATCGTCGACCTTCAGCTCATTACCCAGGTTTCCCGCCACTCCGGGACGATATTTGATCTGTACGCAAACACGACGTCAGATCGGCAAGCATTAGGCATCGTATTTCGTGTAAGGTTGAAGACCGAATACGGTTAGCATACATCGAGAACCGATGCAGGTGAGAAATCCAGGACATCGGGGACGACGTGGTGTTCCGAGAAGCTTTTCGTAATACGAGACTGTTCGGAGTGGTGTTTGTGCTCAACGGATTCGGGTTCGCATTTCATGGCGGATAAAACCAAAACAATCATGTGGCAGATCAATACTGCAGCAAGACACAGTTTAACATCTTTGTCCATTCTGCGATCACGAATCACGATAACCGCAAACTGACTGTTAGGAACGTCTGTCTTCAGTTGCCGCAAATGATATATATCGTATCATATAATTACTGTATGTTAGAATAAAAAAAATGTACTACAGTAGCTGGTACGAAATCTCCAAGCTTCAACTTACTCTACCAGCTATAACGAGCTGCTTATTCTGAATTATTTTCTCGCTTTATAGAGTAACTACTGCTACGTTATATAACTACTTCTACGTTAAACAATAAAATTACTTATTAGTTTACAATTTTAGTAAGGATTCGTACTCGTAAATCGTAATTAGGTAAGGACCGTAAGGTATAAGCGAGTGATAAAATGATAATAATTTAGTACTTGCTTGCTGTAAATCTGCGAGTGTATCAAAGAAAACTCATCATTATCACTAATACGAAGTATGTGTAGAACCCGCTACTCTGCACGTTCGGGAGACAAAAAAGCACTCTTTTAGTATTGTCCCCGGTGGTATAGTGGCAAAATGACTAAATCACAGCGAGCACGGACAGAAAAACCTGTCAAAAGGCGCCGTGAGATGCAGGGCAAAAGACGCCGCAAACTAAAAAATGCACATCGGAGACAAAAATCCCGGTGCAAAAATAAATCAAGATAAATTCAATTGAACATCAAAATCTGTTGAAATCCTTTAAAATAAGTGGGGATTTTTTTTATTGCTGTACTGTTGTAGTTGGGGTTGGAGAGCAAAGAAACGGCAACAAAAATTCGGTTGGGATTGTTTTGTTATAGTATTAATTCGGCCTGGGTGCCAATAAAGTTACACGGTTCTAGTCCTTCAGTTTTTTTTTTCATTTTATATCCACAAATTTATAAAATAAAATTTATAATTTTTTTAGTTTGTTAATTTGGGTTTTCAAATGAGTAATAAATCTTAACTACGCAAGTTGTTGATAACCACCAATTAAAACGCGTACACGAATTTGGTCCATGTACAATATGTACAGTACCACAGTACCGGTTCACCCCCTCAAGTTCAGCTTATATTATTTTATACTTGTACGCGATTATTCAAAACCTTTGATGAAAAACGATCTAGAGCGCGACGATTCGATCGTAGTATTAAATACCAAAAGCCATGTGAAGCAGTTCTGGAGTCTGGACCACGGCCCGGGCACGGCCGCTCTGCCGGCGGTGTCATGGTCAGATTTTTAAAAGGTATTTGGTTAGAGATCTCCGGACTGTGGGGAGGCCGCACGTATGATCGATCTTTTTTAAATGCGTTATAAAGTTCACGTTCGCAAACAAAACGTTGCGGCATCATGCCGGCACGACTCTAGTCGAACGAATTAAAATCAAATATATGTGACCTAGCTCTGGACCATGGCCAATTTGATGGTGGTGTCAGTTTTTTTTCCAAAGTTTTTGGTTAGCAAGATCCCCAGACTATGAGGCCGGACGTATTATTGATCTTTTTCTTACTACGCGAAAACATTTTCACAAAGTAATCTGAATAAAACTACCTACTACATAATTTCTGAGTAAAATTTCAGAGAGATGCCAAACTGTTTGAAACGTCAATTCAGAGTTCACACCAGTAAAACCGAATAAGAACAAAAAAAAAGAAAAATAGTTTAGACAGGCGATTCAAAATATGTCAGCGCTTTATCACCACTTCCATTTTCATTTCCTTGACCCAATCCAGTTTCGAGCCCTTCTGCACTATTTTCCGTCCCTTCTAATACTTTATTCTCACTCAACACCGGTGGTGCACCTTCCTCTTGATCAAAGAAGCTCCCCGTCGGCGGAGTAGCATAATTCAGACTGGAAGCATCCATCAGGGAGGACGACTGCATTTCGAAGCGTAAGGGCACTTCCATACCAACTTGTACAATAAACTCCGTCTCACCCTGCTCAATGGTTATACTGTCCGACGAAGCCGACCGACCCCGTCCCACCGACGACTCCATGGGCATATTGGCCAGACTCAGTTCTATATTCAAAGCCATAGAATCCCCCGGCGTCATCTCCCCGCTGCGACATGTTTCCATGTTAAAATTCATGGCTTCCAGAATTTTCACCATATGCTTGTGTTGGATTTTGTACTGCTCACGAAAGCGTTCCAACTGCACCACACTGTACGTGCGTAATCGTCCCAGATTCTTGGCGTAGTTGTCCTGCAGTCGTTCCATCTGTACCGAACTGTAATCGCGTATCCGGCTGCACTGCTGCCAGTACTGTTCGCGGAAGTTGCCCAGCGGGAGGCGATAGTTGCGGAAACGTGCTATTTTGGTCCCGTAGTGATCGCGAAGACTTTCCATCTGCTGAGCACAGCTTTCTTTCAGTTTGTTCACCTGGGAGTTGTAGTTATCGCGCATGCGCGTGGCTTGGTCATGTCGATATTCTTCAAGATTGACAATCAGCTGCCGGACCTGCTGGACACGGGCAGCGGCACTGTCCCGTGCGTGACACTGCGGACAACACAGGCGCACCACGACCTTCATCATGCCCACAGTGATACCGATCAAAAGCGTGCCCAGTCCCGCGAACCATCCGTAGGTGATGCTTTCCATTTCCACATTGTGACGGAACCATGGGTCGATCATTACGTGCCAGACGGAAGAGGCGGTAGTGTTGTCAGCGCGACTGCACCAGTAAAAGCCTAAAGAGAATAAAAATTAGTTCAGCTGCGCCATCTACAGTACTTCTACTCTATTTACATCAAACATCACTGACATAAAGTCGAGAACGAATAAAATCTATTCCCTCGGAAAGTTACTGTCCACAATGACAGGTAAATAAGCAGTGCTATTATTCAACAATAAAATTTTTGCACTATTTATTGTTAATTAAATCCGATCAGATAACTCACTGCTTGCCACTGAATTACAAAAACTCAATACACTGCAAGACGAGCTCAATTGTGTAAAAAAATTTATTTTGTACGAAGATCAGCTATTCCAACTCGACAATTGTTTTACCCCACGTTACCGCATTCCGCAGTTAAAGTGTCGGCTTTAAAATAACGACAATGTCAAAATATCTGAAAATGTACAGTATACTGACTAATGAGTATAACATTAAATAATAACATTTTAACAAGCTAACAGTACTTAAACGTCCTCAATTTGTAGTTTGTATTTAGCCAAATCAGTGCCAAAAAATTTAATGATTATTTCGGAAACCCGGAGAAATAAATGAGCCAAAGATAACGTACAAACAAAATTAATACATTTGTAATATTAAACAGATATATATACTACAGATATATAAAGTAAAATCCATCCCGACCATCCGTATCAAATCTGAGAGAATTGACGGAACTAACCTCCATCCTCCCTGGTTATGGAAGACAGCTTAAGTGTCCCATTTCCATCCACCCGTGTCCGCAGATCCACAGGCCGAGATCCCTCAGAGAATTGAGCCAAGGACGGATTCGTCCAGGTAGCATTTCCACCATATCCACCACACGAAAGTACGGCACTGGAGTTGAGCGTCAGCAGAATCGCATGGAAGTCAAGGCCACGAAATTCCTCCGTCAAATTAATCCCGGTGATTCGGAATCCATCGATAACCACTATGCACAGTAGATAGGAAAATATCAGCTGAAAAGGAAGATATAAAAGCATTGCCAACACGTGTTCAACGATGTCCAAGAGAACTGTCTACTGGTTCTAGACAAGAACCTGACAGTCCCAATCAGTGTATGCTGATTGGTGTTGTAGAGCATCACGATAACACAAATCAACCTTCACACAACTGTCCACTATTCATCCGATACTGCTTGTGAATATATCCGATATCAACTCTGGTAAGAGGTTATTCTGGTTGACTATTTGACACTACGAAGCGATAAACTTCCTTAGACCTTAAAGTTGAAAAATAATGTGTGATAAGAAGCCAGCATTAGTCAGCTGCTGTGAACTGCCCCGCGGAATGTTTACTTCCACTTTGAGCGTTTGCAAGCTCTCAAGCTGATTGCCAACTAGTGCCCAGGGGCACTGAAAACCTTTCACAGAAATTAATCCCCGTGTGCGGTTGCATACGGCATGGAGGATTTTCCCAAACAACGCACTTTCATTTTTCTGTTTTAAAATTTAAACTTAAGTTACAGTAACCTGTTAATGTGACCAGTTTCTTAGTTTTAACGCAAAAATGTACGGAAACCGAAATACATATATTATGTTTTCTGATCACGCCCCTTAACATATTAATTTTATGGAAGATCCATTGTGTAACGTTATCCTCGTTGGTCGTAACTGGCAGGCATTGTCATATTTCAATTAAGACGTCCTTTATAAACTACACAATAGGGATTTCTTAAAGTTTTTTTTGAGACAGTATCGAGATTTTTTTCAATTTTGCCACGTATCCAGCTCGACTAATTCTGTGAATTGTTTCGCGCTTTATTTTTTCCTATTTACTCCAGTCACACAGCACTGAAGAGGATGTAATTAGACATTACGAGTACAAAAATCTTCTTGCTGTACAGGCGCCCCCAGGACCAAACCTTTAATGCGCCGCATGCGTTCTGCTCAGCGTGCTCACTGCCGTGCTCACTGAGTAAAAAATCGATAACATGTACAAATTGCAACACCAAGCTGAATCCCGTATGCTTGCGCAAGACCATTAGTCCATAGATCTGAGCCAATTTTCTGGCGATAAAGCCTTTTCGCATGTATATGATCCGCCGGTCGTAACTATCACATAGACCTAATAACAGATACACTTTGCTCCATATGCAACTTGAAAATCCATAACGAATGCTCACCTTGGAATGTCCTTGAAATCTAAATATAAGCTGAACAGATGGTGTAGCGATTCCATCCTGTTGCCATCATACACCGGGATGCCCACCAGCGCTGCGAAATCCATACCGGTCATTAATTAAGCTGAGTTTCTACTCGTTTGCACCCCTCTTGCGAGAAAAAACACCACTGCGGACTCGTAAACAGTTCTATAGTGTACGTTACTGCTTTTGGTGCTCAAAACATTGAATTTCACCGATTTAAACTCAAAATGTGCGCGCAATAACCGGCTGCTGTACTATCACCGGAAAAAGTTTAAAAACTCGGACGCGTCAACTTGAGAATCCATAAAGAATGCTCACCTTGGAATGTCCTTGAAATCTAAATATAAGCTGAACAGATCATTCCACCAGCATTCCACCTTGCTACTTGCTATAATTTCGTCAAAAACATCTTTGAAATTTATTCTGCATTTATCCATAGCTTTCATCCTTGACTTCAAAATGTCCAAGGTCAATAACACCTTACAACAGACTGCTTTCTTGAGGCAAGCTTTCTATGTTCGATTTGCACCGTTAAAGGTCACCGCTTGCTGTTAGCCGGGTTAGTAGGGCTTGTACACTGTGAAATGACTGCACTCCTACCTGTGAAACGTTATACCACATTTGCGTACGTACCACAAATAATATCGATATATTCCTCCAGAGAACAGTCGAGATTGGAAATGGTTTGTTCTGGATAACGCAACATGTGCTCCATACCACTCGGCCATCCCTGCATTAATGTTTCCGTGTCCGGCATTGGGCTACGATGCAGACAAACATTAATAAAGACTTCACAGTTTTGTTTTATTAAACCCAAAACACAGCCATGAAAGCGATATCCCAGCCAATATGCAATTGAAGTACGAGTAAGTACTACTGTAACTGCATACTTTGAATACTGAATCTTTGTAACAGCAGCCGAACGCGGCCGATTCCGTTTCATCTCGTCCAGCCAAGCATCAATTTTTTCATTTGTCCCTGGCGGGTTCGGAGAGGAAATGCGATCCTGTTCAAATATAAAAACCAAAATTGTTTCATAATCTCAATCAAGAGTCTGATTTTCGGTGCATCCAGATAAATGAGAAATCTAGATTTCACGTGCAGCATCGTACTCACAAGACAGTATCAATTAACGTTAATTCTCTCGATTCTTCGTTAATGTTACCGGCACGATGGTCACACTCGATACTTTTTTAAAGAAAAGATGGGCGGCCTTTCTACCCACCGAAGACAATCCAGTTCCCATGTCCAAGTTGCCAGCTGCGACTTCCGGTGCTTTACGCAAGGAGCTGCGCCGTTGGAAATGCCGACGCAATTCTTCGCTATGCTGGTCGTCCGTGCTAACCTTTAAAAATTATTACAGTTGGGCAGTTATTCAAAAGATCACTCAGAATAAAAAATACTTACTCTGCTGCCTCGAAAGGGAACTCTTGGCGCTCGTGGTCGGTCTTTGTGGTATCTGTAACCATGGTTGAATAATTTCGCCAACGCAAAGCGGCGAACGAAATGCAACACAATAATTATTTTATGTTATAATGCAATTATACGATATGCAACTACGAAACAAGGAATACCAGAATACTGCTTAATACTCAATATCAACACAAGAAAAATTTGGACTGTGTAATGCAGTATACGCACGAGCTGAAACAACCTTGATGAAGCACAATCGTATGAAAATGTAACGGCTAGCTACTGCTTATTATGTAATCCGTCATGACGCTGGTTAAATTGAATTATTACCTTGATTCTTCGTCATCTCTCCCTCCAAGTCCATCTAAAGCAATTGCTTCCACTTCTTGTTCAGTGATATGTTTATCAATTGACTGCCTGGCTAATGTTCGCGCGATGATAGGCTACAAAATATAATGCGCAATAAAAACCGAATTAGTTGCCATTTTTACGGAACACCTCACCTTGGTTTCCATAAAACCAGCTTCTTCGTCTTCCGCCCTGGAGTACACCATCTTTGGCCGCTGCATGTCGCTGTTGAATGCTGACCTATTTCCTGAAAGATGATAAAATACGATCCCTGCTCGGCAGGAGAGGAAAAATAAAGAGCAGCAGATCGCAATAAAAATCGATCAAATGAAATGCAAGAAGAATCAGTCGGGCGATTATTTAATGGTACACAGCACACTGCGGCTAATCCATCGACGTATGATCCGATTCCGGCGTCAAGTCGGCTGAACTCTCTAACTAACCTGTGCGTGCAGATTGAATATCGTAATCGTCTTCATCATCATCATCGAAGGATAACCGAGCCCGACGCCTGCTTTCCGGGGATGGTGCTTTCCGTCCATCCGGTATGTTGTCCATATATATAGAGGCCGTTATTGTACGCCAGCCACCTGTATCACACCGATCAACAGCGAAATTAATATCGACATACAAGTCAATGGGCTCTCACATCCACAGACAAAATGTTCGTTAAGGCCACGCTAATGTGCGCAACTGTGCACTGGGAAGGCTCTTGATCAAAAGTTGATGTGCATAGAATGTTAATCAAGTAGGTAGTGTTCACAGGAATGCGAGGTGCCGGAACTCACACGCTCGATAAAGAGGCACGAAATGGAATCGCAAATGTAACCTGCGGCATCGATCCCACCTCAGCCTACACCTAAAAGGTATCTACAAAATGACTGCAGAGCCGATTATACCTCAATCTGCCAGTCAACAACTGACAATCAGATGTCTACATGGCATGAACGCTTTCGGTATAACTGCACTATAGTTTCACTATAATAGTGCGAGTTATGTGGTTCCAAAAATAGTCTCAGCAGCTGTTCGCCTTTTTATTAGCCTGTTCCATATATATAAAAGAGGCAGAGATTTTTATTTATTCAAAACGTATTTGTAGAGATAAAACTCAGAGATGCACAAATTAATAAAAGCTACGAGTATAGTGCTAATTTGTATTTAGCAAACTATAGGGGGTCTGTAGTGGGTTTTTGTTTATCTGCAGTGACATCCATCAACGCATAAAATTTTACTCATAATTATGTACAATTTTTATACTCGTATACCAGTTTAATTTTGTATGGGAACATGGGAAGTTTGGAACGTGTTACAGAGTACGGGGTCACTCCATTTTACTGTAAGTTACGGCTTACTCGTTCGAAAGTTAAGAGTATGAAGTATTTAAAAATGGGTGAATTTAGTGCATTTTCAAAAAAAACAGACAGCACACGCAAGCTTCATTCTACCCGCAATATACTGGAGTAATTTTGTATTTAATCCAGCAATGACGGCACCACGGCAGTCAAAATCGCTACATAACTGTTACGCATAGTACCTTGCGACATGCATTTTCCCATCGTTGCGAACTGGATGCAGCAAGCACAACAATACCGGCGGCAGATTTTCCATGGACTATCAAAACAGATACGTCTGTAAATGGGTCCAATAGTACTAACCGCATCACGCATGCAATAATCCACAAAATCGACTTATTGATGTCCTGGCAACTTTCCCCACTAGCAATGCCAGCTCAGAGCGATTGGAATGTAAATACGAGTGATACAAAATACACTTCCATCCAGTCCATGTAGCAACACAGGGACAATAAATGAGCAGTCCACATCACAGCTGAAAGCGCTTCGTTCTAGCAATGGTTGCACAGTATCTCGTCTCAACAATTCCTTCAAAAACTGTACACGACGTACTGCTAATTCAGAAGAGTAACCCCAGGTAAGAAATCGAATTTTATCGTTCACCTGTGGATACTATTCTAATTTAACAGTTAACGCTAAGCTGCGACAATCAGACAAACGAATCTAACTTTTTTCCAGCAACGGACAAGCCGTTCAGTCCAGGGATCAAGGAGCCAGTCAAGACCAACCACACAAGGTAAAACTATTTACAAGCCAAACTACACAAAACAATAAAAACGCTATTAATGGTAGAACTGGTTCAAAACCATTCATAACTAAAAACAACTCTTTATAGTGAAAATTCTCGAGAAAGAGAATCCGTCATGCTTTTGACTTATTTACTTGATATATGGATATCATAACCCATCGATCCAGTGCACTGTCATAATTTATCGATTTTGCAATTTTAATCAGCCTACACACTCTAGGACTATTTAATATCGTCATGCAATTGTATGGAACTACCAATACACTTTTTGCTTCGCGTATAATAAGACTGCCGGGAAATGCTCTTTACATAAATGCATAAAAGTATATTACAGAAATTTAGTTTATTTATATCCACTGTACTGTATATTATAAAAAAACAGATCGCAACAGTCCTGCCCAAACGGAACTTGTCTTTGCCGTTGTGGCAATCTCTTTTATATTTATTCAAAACATCAAAGCTATACAAATGCCGAAGAAAACACATGAACTTGTCAATCCATACCGAAGCTAATAATTTTTGGAAAGGAACTGACTAAGTCTGCTTGGTCCAAGCCGAGAGAAAAATTCGATTGCGAGCAACCGCAACTGACAGACTACAGATACATAGCTAGTATTCCAGATCATTTTTTAGAAGAATTGTATAGTAGCCGGATCAGAATCTGGCTTTGAAATCTCAAAAGCGCTCTTTAATGAATGGAAAAACCTAAAAATAGGTACACCTCAGTATTCACAACTGGAGAAACTGCAGTGTTTCTTACCGATCAATCAAGTCGTTATTCTTTTGCATCTTCCGAGCTAAAAGTTCTCCAATGCTAATGAGGCTCTGTGCCATTACAAAAAAATAATGCAAATCACAAAGTTCAAAAGCATAGGTTTCACATGCGTTTTCACGTTGTTATTGTGTTACCTCGCTATTTGTAACCAATTTTCCATTCAAAACGAGTGGCATTTCAAAATTATGGGTACATCTGACTGCCTGCAACAGTAACCCGATATTTCTACTTTTAAAAAATTCGCATTTCTCGCTTTTCAGCAATTTTCTCGAATTTCTGAAAGCTATTTATAGTTAAACTTTTGGATACAAAAGTGATTATTAGAGTATTTGATTATTAGAGTACAAACACAATCCATCGTCAACTTACCACGTGCATTGCGAATCCCTCTTTCCCTTTTTTCCGAATGGTAATTCCGGAGTTGCGGAAGCCAGACTGAACCGAGATTGCATGCTGCAAAGACGCACTATGAACAGTCTGTTAAAATGTAAAACAGAACGTATCTCGAATTCATTCTGTACGATTATGTATAATTTATCTTTAAAAACGCTGCTCGGCGCTTACCAGTTTCTGCGCATCCGCCAGTGTTTCGCACCGCACATGCAGAATAAATGGTTCAAATTTGAGAAAAACATCATTCTCGAAAAACGCTGGGTTCTTCGTCAGGGATTCCACGGAGCTTGTCTAAACCATATGAATTAATGCGGATAATTTTCAGAAAGATACAACACTGCTGCACACCGGGAATTACCAAGAGCGTAGGCGTATATTCGCTGTGGGCAACAAAATGCCATTGGCACGCTCCCTTACCTATCGCACCCTAAAGAGACAAAACATTAACTCAGGATCATCATTGCGCGTTTCTTTATATATGAGCATATTCTTCAATCGTGGTTAAAACCCAGTAAACACCTGGGAAAACACAATAACCCGCCCGGAACATGAACTGGTGGAAACAAATTGCCGCAGATCATTAAGGTACAGCAATAAGTCTTCGATTTCACGGTCAAACGAGCCTTTTCTGCTGTTGTCCTTCGTGTCATCCGTCCGACACAGATCGGATACAACGGCGGGTTTCTCCTCGAAAAACTTATGGTCTGCTATTGACTCCATCAAGCAGCACCATTCATCAAATTAAAAGCCCTCTAACTGATTCCTCTGTGAAAGTCAAAAATACGATTACAGATACTTATACTATGTACCAGATTCAGAGGCAGGGGTAATTCAAAATGATAAGTAACACTGTAACAAAGACCAAATCAAATTCACTGTAGAACAATTCTGGTTTCCCGACTTCCAGTTAAAAAGTTGGAAAATTTTTTATTTCAAAAATCAACTGTCGAACGCCGTCAATGGTGCGATACGATTGATTGTATACGACTGCGAGGAGCGGGCTTAAATTTGGGACAGCCCCTTTGCACGGTTTCGTGGTGTCCAGAGTTCAGTTCCTGACTCGGCAGTGACGCTGTATAGTCCTTTTGAAAGTCGCACGGGGAAATTTGGAACAGCAAAATATTTCCCGTATTGCAAACATTGATATTGAAAACTAACACAATGTATTATGTAAAAATGTATGTATGTATGTATTATAAAGTAAAATGACAAACGGATGTGATAGTTCCAGAATATGGACGAATATACCGAAACATGTTGCATTTGCTTTGAACCATTCGCTAAAGGAGGAACCGACCGGACTATGGATGGACTACCATTTACGGAATACGGAGCCCATGTCCGAACTGTTTCGCTAAATCAATGCCTCCACAAATTTTGCTATGACTGTATAGCGTTATGGGATCATTTCCAAGGAGAAATACGGCAACTAGACAGCAGAGAACACTACGAATACGCCGGAGAAAATAAATCGGTGGAAAATCACAGGTGCTATCGACTGCTAAGCCAGTCGCGCTTATGGTTAGATTTAGATTAATGTTTATATAATAATAATAACTAATTAAGAAAGTAACATTAGTACCTATTAACGAGATATTAGAAAACTATGTGCCAGTTGATTGGTTCGTTAAAAAGAAGTGGTAAAGTTAGAAAAATACCAGGCATTTCAACTGAGGGTGTAGTGACGATTTGAAATTTTGTTATTGGTGTTATAGGACTTGTCCACTATGTCGAACACATTACGAAAGCTTTGCCGCGATATATACAGCAGGTGTTCCGGTATCCGTCGATGACAACCTCGATTCTCCACCGACACCATTGGCCATCTCCCGAGCAACCCAGCAGCCTTTTTCACCAAGTCGACCGGATCAAAATTTCTGCGCCCGTTTGTTTGTATTTTTGCACACCTTATTATCCTTAAGCCATTTAAATGAATGTACAGTTGATTACTTTTTTATCTTCATAGCCACTGCTTTTATCATTTGGTACAGCATTATTCTTGAACTGCGTTTAGTTGCGCAATTAAATGCATAAAGAACTGAAAGGTTTTTCGATCCTGAACGCAAATGTACCTGTCATCTTGATTACTGTTTTGAACTTACGCATGTTTACTGACAAATCTGTGCTGACTGTGAGCAGCTAATATTCAGATGGCAAGGTAAAACGCTTGTCAAACAACATTAAAATTCGGAAGGGTGCGGTTAGATTGGTCGCTGCAACTGCTCAGATTATAGAACAATGCAAAAATAATTGATTACTGTCTGAAACTTTTCTTTCGTAAAACCGCCAATAACTGTGCAATCGACTCAAGTAGCACCAGTAACTAAATGGTTTCAAAATTTTATCCTGACGGTGTCTTCCATTAAAAGCTCTAATTCTTCTAGGATGTCTTTTATTAATACGAATATGTTTACCAGAATAGTAATTACGCTTGTTTTTGCCAATATTTTCAAATGCGCCGCTTGGAATATTACGCTAATTATGGCGATGTCCTTTACATCGCTACCCTACAGTTACGACTATCTTGGTCCACCCACGGATCTGGCCGTCAGTGAAGTGCAAGGGAAATACGACAATATCACGATAACCCAAGCGATATTAGCGCCTCCGGAAGTGCGCACTTGTCCCGAACTGGAGGCTCGCATTGTGGAACTGGTGGCTAATTATGTCTTTATGAACGAAATTGGACGCGGCTATCTACTGGATCCGGCCAATTTATTAGTAATTGTCGCTGATGGTAAGAATAGTACGCAGATAGTATTTTCGTTAACAGGTATGCATGTCATTAATACTTTATGCGCGACAAACAATATTCAGCAGCGATTCTTTTTAAACAATAAATTTTGTAATGCAGCAGACCTAAATTATGGAGCATAGTCAGTACATATCATTATTTTCATAAGATATTGGATTGAATATGCCGACAATATCACATCGATCCAAAGAGTGAGTACGCACATTTACTTGAAACACATGAAAACATTTTAAAATCATTCAACTTCTAGAATGATTGTATATTTATTTAACTCCGCACACGAACTTGTGACACAAATCCATTCTCACAGCATGCAGCGGCGCCCTAAAAAATATTGGCGATTTTGCAAGAGGTAAGCGGCATTATGCTGGTATAATTTCCCGAAAAGTTGCCTTATATCATGATCAAAATTTAATCACTACGAGTAGCAGTTAAACCAGTGTTGCATTATACGCATTTTCTACGTAGAACTGGACAGTCCCGCCATTTCTAGGTACGCTCATGTTTGAAGGCTATCGAATCGGATTATTTCAATTTTACCTGTATAAGTGATATTTTATTTAATTCATGAAGTGGTGGATCGGATATGGGTTTAAGCGATAAGAAACGATTTCCTACTCTGCTCCGATTGCAACCCTATCGCACACCGGATATCATTCAAGCGCTGATGCTGTTTCTCGATCTCTTTGAATGGCGGGATATAGCTTTACTATGCGATAAGAATCCCAACCTGGGCAACTTCTTTGCACTGGCATGCATGGCGGCTGAAACAACAATTAAAAATGGACCACGGATGAATGTCTTCCTTAATGAATTTAATTCTCTGGAACCTGTGGATTTCGTATCTGAGTTGCACAGGCTGGCAAAAGTCAGTCGTAGTAAGTGGTCAAAAATCTAATATACTGCAATGCTATGACGTGAATGAGAACCACGTATATTTTGAAATGTTTGCAGTATTTGTCCTTTTAACCCATGGAAATCAAACTCGATCTTTGTTGGTAAATGTTCTGATTCATATACATCTACAATTATTGTATACATGTGTGTGTATCTGTACACAAAGCAGAACTTTCTTTTAAAATCACATTTTCCAGATAATTAACGTCACAGATCCACGGCACTTCTATGGTTAAATTAAAATATACAATTGTTCACAAAGTTTTAAAATACGTCAAATTTATAAGCAATTACAACACGATCACACTATTTTAGGTCGCTGCGCACCGGATTGGATTTACCAAAGGAGAATTCGTAAGTGACCTTTTATTTTGGAAACCAAGAAGTCTGCCTGTATTATCTCTAAAAGCTACAGGATTTAATAATTTTATTTAGCAATTTCACAACAATGTCGTTTTAGGTTTATATTTCTTTAAATCCAATGGAGCATCCTTTACATGGATTTTATCGCTGGCAGTTTCATGATGCAGATGATGAGGTTCGTAACATCAAAATCTGTTCAAACATTGCATCTAAGCAAGTTTGATAGCTACGAAGTATGCTTAGTGTTGTTTACAACGTGTCTATGCACAATCTTACGTTCTCTTTCTAATAAATAACTACATTTAATTTTAGGATGCTAGAAACGCGTTCAAATCGCTATTTTACATCAGCAGCAAGCCCATGAGAGGACCGGACTATGCGGCATTTGAAATGGAAATTAAATATAATGCTTATAAACACTACAATTACACTTACGAACCAGAAGAACGAGTACGTAAGCCAATAAATTAACTATTATTGAAAATCAATCTTAGATATAGTGTTCCACAATCACATTCACATATACGGTATTGATTTTTTAAGGTACTAACGATAAACCATTGGTCTATCACAGGTTTCATCGTTTACTGCACTCCAGCATACACTTATTCGCCTTCTGATAGAGGTACAGCTGAGCTTCAGAAAATGCTAATAATACGCTGACAACAATTAAATGCACACTGCTGTTATGCATTACTTATTTTTTAATAGTGCTGCTTGTTGATGTATTTTTTCTGACGACTTCTTACCTGCTTAGATAGTGAATGAGACATTGGCAGACGGTTTGGCCGATTTTGAATCGGCGAAAAAGGTCATGCATAGAGCGTTCCTCCCACGCAATGTGTCGTCAGTGGCAGGGGACTTCCAGTTTGACAAAGGAGACAGAACGGAATACTCGTACGTTATACTTTCGATGGAGCCGAATTCGTCCACATTTCGGGTAAAATGTATTTTCGTACATTATTTTCATTGTGCTGCGGTAAAACGATAATGTAAGTGTAAAATAAATCATTAACTACCATGCCTGGCAAATAAACCGCTTCCAAGGTTTTTTACACATCAACAATTTTCGTATGCGTATATAAAAAATTTATTCCATATGGGAATGAATAAAATTTAATTTGTGAATCTGCTACCACGACTTCCAAGTTCCAACGAAAGTAGAATTACCCTATTCTGCATACAACTTAGTGTATCAATACAGTAACTGTAATGCTTGTTGCTTATGGTCGTTATTATTAGGTAGTATTCACGTACGACACAACTAATGGAACTCTGGTTCCGGTAAACGGAACAGCCATTTCGTGGGCATATCGTGACAGCCCTCCTCAGAATGTGCCTCCATGTGGTTTCGATGGTTTAGATGGCGATTGTGAAATAAGTAAGATTATTTTTTAAAAAAAGTATTGAAGCGTCAGATATTGGCATTTTACATTTTGTATGTTGAGGGTGCATTCTTGTGATGGAATACCTTTTGCACTGTGTACAATACAGACTGCGCTTGTACCGGCATATAAAACTGCACTTAACATCTGGTTGACAGAATAAACAATGTTATTATTGTTTGGTTATAGATAATGACGCCGCACTGAGAGGCAGGATTGGAATATATTTAGGGATTCCGCTTACAATCATTATTATAGCGGCAGCCGCGTATATATATTTTCGGTAAAAAAGAAATTCTGACAACCTAACCTAGATCTTTCGATTGACAACAGCCCAAAATTCGCGGTCATCTTACAGGCGCAATCGACACAAATACGAAGACGAAGATTCCCGGTGGTACATACCGCTAAGCGATTTGGAATTTAATAAGGATGAACCTGTCGACAACCCTGCTGTCTCTGCGAGCATTAAAATCCCGGTATAGTTTTTTTTTCGCTTTACTAGCGGTGTAATAAGACTGGAACATTACTCTGCATATGTCTTGCGTAATACCGTATGCATTACAATTTACAATCATCAAATTAATATTACAAGTACATTACAGAATGCATTAAAATTATTTTTACTTTTTGAGTATACTCAGTATAGCTGGTTTAATTTTTCACAATAATATGCAAGTATGCTAGGTGGTGCAGATTAATACCACAGTGAGTGGACTGCATCTCCAAGCGCTGGGCAAAACTGAGAAGAAGCCAAAGAAACCGGACGCACATTTGGTCCGCTATAAAGATCGAACAATCTGGGATAGAAAGGTTGTTCTCTCACACCGATTTTCTCCCTCACGACAGCAAGAAGACTGTATCAAAAAGGTATGTTTGCAAACTGCAACCGGGACATGCCTAATTTTTTTAAAACTGGCTTTTTCATTTGGGCTCTTATGCAGATGAAAATGCTTCGCAGTTTGAATGTCGCACATTTTTACGGTTTTTCACCGGAAGCGCCACCAAACTTACTAATGCACGTGCTGTACGAACATGGCTCACGAGGAAATTTGGCTAGCCTAATGCACAACTCCACCGTACGTGTTGACGATGCTTTACGACAGTCCGTGACGACAGATTTGACCAATGTAAGTGACATTTGCAAAGCCATCTTTTAATCAAAAATCAGTTTTATTTATAAGAATTTTTCGTTCATAAAATTTTTTTCACATTTAGTCTGGTAAAACTTAAGCTATGTGCTATGCATCATACATAAAAAATTGTTAAAAACGGTTACGATAAGTTGATAACTGACACATCTGCTGTAATTAACATTTGGAATACGGCTTTAAAATGACCCATTACATTTTACTAACACTTTGTAAAATTATGTGATTACTTTTTTCAGGGATTGCAGTATCTGCATGACTCTCCGGTCGACCATCATTCCTCCATAAATACCTACTGCCTCATAATTGATAGTCGGTTTGTTTTGAAAATTGCTTATTACCGCTTGGATATTCTGCCGCAGCTTATACCGGATATGAATAACGAAGAAGTGGTGCAATCCCGATTCCTTAGTTATGCGCCAGAACGGCTGAGAGGTCCCATATCACATATCTATCAGGGATCAAAGCAGAGCGATTTGTATTCATACGCATACGTACTGCTGGAGATATTTTGCGGGATATCGCCATTCCAAAAAGAATTAGCACTTGGGATACTTTCTCCAAAAGGTCAAGGGCATTGTGAAATGTCAACCAAAATATCAATTAAATAATGTATATGGTTTTCGGGAGACTTACAAACGAACTTGTCTATTTTTACGTCTACACTGCAATTTTTAAAAATCTGTTATTTATTAAATACGGAACTTTTATGACTACATACTGCTGTAACGGAATTTTTTTTAATATCGCTGACCAACAATAGGCAACGCGCTGTTCCCTTCTAGATATTTTAACGAGACTTACGCGTGCAACAACCACGGCATTTCGTCCGGAAATTCCCGACACATGCTCGGCTCCACTGACAATGCTGATTGAACGGTGCTGGGAAGACAGGCCTGAGTCGCGTCCCACCATCAAAGCCGTACAACAGTTCCTGAAGACGGTGCCCGGTTTTGAGCGGAACAAGAATTTCGTCGACAGCCTCATGCATCGAATGGAAGTGTATGCTCGGGAGCTGGAAGATCGCATTGGAGCAGCAACGGCGAACATGATGGAAGAGAAACGAAAATCGGAAGAGCTGCTATTTCAAATTCTACCCCAGTATGTATCGTTTACATCGCAGTCTAATCAAGTGCTTAGCAGTTTGCATGCAGTACATTGCGACCGAATTACTAGATAAGTGGGCGATGACCGAATAAAGAAAGCTGTGTGCAAAATATTTTATTTATATATGTTTCAGTTTTTATTTTGCTTTTAGACATCTTGCACTGGCTATGACACAGGGAAGAGACATCAAACCGGAGACATTTGATAGTGTGACAATTGCTTTCACGGCCATTGCTGACTTCGGAGAAATCGCCACCGGGAGTTCGCCATTCCAGATTGTCAAGTTACTGAACGATTTGTATTCGATGTTCGATAACACACTGGATCGTTATGATGTTTACAAAGTGGAGACAATTGCAGATTCCTACATGGTAATGTTATTATGTAAGATTTATAAGGAGGTCGAACCGGGCAGGCTATAAAAGTTAATAAAGGTCATAGTGATTATAAGCTGATTAGAATTATTTGTGGCTGCAGATAGCCAGTGGAGTTCCCAATCGCAATGGTCAAGAACATGCTCGACAAATAGCCAGAATAGCGTTGGACTTAATTAAGCAAGCAAAAAGCTTCCTTATCGCCCACCATCCAGGACGTACGCTACAGTTGAAAATTGGATGTCATACCGGCGGATGTGCAGCAGCCATAGTTGGAACGCGGATGCCACGTTACTGCTTGTCTGTCATAATATTTTTGTCTTGCTGGACTTGTGCAATGTTCCTTTTGTTTTAGATTTGGAGACACGGTCAACACTGCAAGTAGAATGACTTCCTTTGGCAAAGGTCAGTCGCTCAGTACTCGATATTTGGGCCTACTGTGAGCGCTAAAAGTGCAGTTGGTAATCAAATTTTTATAGTGAAGTATCAATAATAGGTCAATATGTTTACAGCGCTGAAAATTCAAATTAGCAGTGCTGCAAGGGAATATTTGGAGCGTTACTTTAATTTCAAATCGGAATACAGAGGTCAGCTGGAAGTCAAGGTACGAAAACTTTCTTTTGAAAGCTATCATGCCAGTTTCTCAATCTGAAAATTAATTTACCTCAGAACTGAAACCCATGCAAGAAACATGGAATTCGTATTCTTTGCTTTTGCAGGGGAAGGGCATGCAGAACACTTACTGGTTGATTTCGGAGCTGCATAAAGAATAGCTGTGAATTACTTACGCATAACATAATTATCATAACACTACGCAACATGGACGATTTGTAACGTAAATTTCGTAATTTCGTGCTGAGTGCTATTGGACGATTCCAATGCATTTGTTGCTACTGGACGATTCTTTTGCATTTGTACTGATTCAATTCCTTTGGAAAATGTTATGGCAGCTCGATCGTTTATAATACGACAGAAAGTAATTCACGTTCTTTTGTTGTGGATATTATTGTAAACTGCTTTGTAAAAAATGCGGCATTATCACACAGCGTTAGTAGAAGTACTTATGGTCAGTAAGCAGCAACCACTGGCGATCTAATCACGGAAAACATTTCACTTGAATTGGTCGTCGGCGGTGCTGATCTCGGGAGGGCGTGTCTTTTCGCCGCCATGCGCCACACTTCCACAAGCAATATACGAAAACAATAAGATTATAAGAATAATTAGTTCCAAACAATAATTACTTCGAAAGGTTACTTTAAACGTGTACTGAACCATTTCGGTCGAACCGGGCGGTAATTTGTAGAAATAGCGGCAAAAGGACCATCTTCTTCGGGCGGCAGCTATTAACCATTTGGGTAGCAGTCAGCGAACGAGTGATTCAACTTTCATGACTGCATCGCGCAAATTCCCTGAAACTGCAGCTGATCGATCTGTTTACGTTTTTACACTCTGAAGGTTTATTGTTACAACCATCCGAAACGCGTAAAACCCGAGCATTTTGTCGTATTTCACCATTTTATACGCTTCTTATCAAGTCTTTTAATCAGCTGGAAAGCCCTGATCTATAAACACATTTCTTGTTTAGTGAACTGCCAACAGCAACTGAGCGAACCCTTTTCCTGTTAACGTGCTTTTGTTAGTTTTGTATTTCTGGTTTGAAAGCCTCAGATTTTGTCGAACTAAACAAACTTCGCATACGCACCATGAGGGTTCAAGGTGTTCCGGGTCAGAATGCGCCAGACGGCGGCGCCGTCCCCGTTCCAGGAAGTATGGCCAGAAGCGGATGGGTCTATCGTCAAAGTAAGTGCTGGCCCTGCTTGTCTTCAAAAAGCAGAGCGTACTCTGCACTGTACGTCCGGAAGTGGGTCGCTTTTAACTGCAATGGGTTGTTCCGTACCATCTTGCGCAAAGTTCTCGTTGGAAGATTTTTAGTTTGATAGATTTGGAAATCGTACAATAGCTCCATGTATGCAATTCTTTTTGGCTCTGTAAAAGCGATAGTGTTGCCGTCGAGCTACAGTGATAGATTTTGTTCTTGTTGTTGTCACTTCTTTGAAATAATTTTTACAGGATTTCTACATAGGATTGCTTTCTAGGTTCGATTTTAAAGCACTGGAAAAAAGTCTGGCTGGTGCTGCAACAGACTGGAGAATTGCAGTATTACGATGAGCCCAACAAATCCAGAGCCAAGGATGCTCTGTTTATGCCAGACACACTGAGTGTTCAGACAGGACGTGAGGTTCGTAGAACAATGGCTTTGCATGTTACGGCCGATGATTACCCTTTTGGGAATACATTGACAGTGATCGCATGGTTGGGTTTTTGTTGTGTCACTTGTGTGATTGCTATACGTACTGCGTGTTGGGTTTTTAGTGCAAATACTCGCCACCCAGTGGAATGCCCGCCGAATCCCTTTTCGCCATCCGACCACGCCACGGCTCAGCGTGGCATCTGTGTGCGGAATCACAAGATGACTGTGCCGCTTGGAAAATCGCACTGGAACAGGCACGAACGGCTGCGCCACCGGTACGTGACGCGGTTTTGTAGATGATATTGGCGCGTTGTGAGGAAGGAAATATTACTTGCTGTCAATTATCTTTTGAAAATTTGAACGTTTCTTTTGTTTACCTGAAAAAGAGAAACGTTTTCACGGATTTATATTCCGAATACCTGCGATTTTCACGGGTTTTACCCTTCCGACTGATACAGATAAACCAACCTTAACACTGACGAACGTCACACTTTTATCGATTAAATTATTGTTTCATTACTTTTTCATTGCAAATATCATTAAATCAGTTTTAAATCAAACGTGAAAAGTGAGGACTTCAATGGCTGACTCCACAATTAGAGGGGCTGGGATCGTAGGATTTAATTGGTATTTTAATAATTACGTAGAGTTTAGGTCACCGTTATTGCTCAAGTCTGTACTATTTTCAGGATTATACTATTTTCAATTGAAATTATACAAATAATTTTTTCGGTTGTGAGACTAAAATTTATAGTATTTGATATTTATTAAACGTCTGTGTTGAGCAGGCAGGAGTGCGCCGCACAGTATCCACGTCGGCCATCAATGTTATGCCCGCCGGGTATTATGCTTTCTCACCAGCACCAGATGGGTTTTACCTTCCCACTGGCTACGGTAAGCTGAGACTGATTGTCCCCCGTGCCGTTTACGTGAATCGTTACATAATATAATCATTTAAGTATATGGTGGGATGTTGTTTTGGTAATCAGAAGCTGGGATTCATATGATGTTGTTGACAGTGTACCAAGTGGGTCCCGACAATGTGACACGCGTGTATTACGTGGATCGACCGGGCTACTACTACTCCGGTCCGGACTATTCCTTGGGTCTACTGGGAGGTGTTGCTGCCGGAGCCTTACTGGGTTCGGCGATGTTGTGGCCACTTTCCTTTGGATGCTGGTGAAAGAGAGGATGCGCTATCGCTGCCGAGGAATTATTCATCTACCGAGGAATTAAGCTGGATCTAGTCACCTTTATGCCATAAACATTCAATAATCGCCGACCTAGAAAGTCTATTTGAAGTAGGGCATTGATTATTGCGTTTTGTTGCCTGTGTATGTTTGCATGAACAGAAACTATAAGGTACCTTCGCTAATTAATTCGCTCAATTCGGTAATTCGCTAAATTGAATTCTAATTTATGTTATGATATTTTTTCGCACATGTGAATCTTAAGGAGATTTGTTTTCATGGATGGCTTTGGGCATGAACAACATTTATTGCTTATGAGTTTTAAAATGGTATATTTCGTAACCTGCACCATTTTTCACTCGTTCTGTTATCGGAAACATGTTTGGAGAGTTATAGCAGTCGACGTTTTGTGTACCAGTTGTGAAAAGTATTTTGAGAAGGCATTTTTTATGATAGGCGAAGCGATGGATACTGCACTTCGTGTACAGTCACAATCAAAAACAGCGGTTTTTTGTACTGTATAGGAATATTGAATATATTGTATGTTATTGCAGAACTGTGTAATAAAAGCCAAAAGGAATGTGTGCAACATGTGCAGCCTGGTTTTACTTATTATCCATGGTACGATCAGAAAGATGGGAGCCGGGATAAGAACGGCCCATCGTAGCCTAGCACATGTAATAATAATATTATTTTGAAACTACCAAATTACTGCAGAGCACATGTTTCAGAATGAAACATTTTATTGTACTATTACACGGTGTCTTTCGGCGGGGTCCTTTGTGAAGCTGTTTTTTTTGCGTTTTTTTATGGGTGAATTTCCATTGCGGAATCAGAGGAAAATGTGTAATCGGAAACAGACCTTCGTGATAATGTCGATACTTGTGACGTTTGCCGTAATCGTTCGTTTCAGCGTTATTACCGATGCTCGCGCTATAAGAAATGTCAACGGGGTCAGCTCTGGAGGTAAACAATAATAAACATCTACCGTATACGTAGAAAATATTCGCTTGAGCTGCAAGTTGCGCGTGATTGCATTATAACCGAGGTGTGACTTATACAGTTATACCATAAGCGTTCATGAATTATGCGGTATTGTATTATGATTTATGAAGTATTGCAAATTAAGTAAAATCTTCTAGGACTGACTAAGCATTTTTATTATAGCTTGGAATCGGGTGCGAATTAAAAAAATTAGAACATAACTAAGTTTGCGCTCATTTGTCGGATTAAACTGAAATCCATCCCCGCGGTATCACCCTAGTCGATAGTGTGATAATATGCGATTATGGATGGATAATTTACATTTGTGGCCAGTATCACCCAGCGTAATACTCGTAGATAATTTACCACGGACAGTCAAAAATTTTAGTACGCTACGACTTCCGTAATTAATTCCTTTAACGACAGGTTGCGTTGATCGTGATCCGGCTTGTCCGATGCTGGCACAGGTAAATGCACTGGTTGTGTGGTTTTCAGTTGATTCCAGTTAATATAGAAGTATAGCACCTACTGCATACCATACATGTAACGTTAATTATGTATCTTATTATCTACAGACTATTTTGACGAAGTTTATATTTGAATATAGGCTGGGCAGTGTGTAACTCATGCAAATTACACTCTGGAAGCATGCGAACTAAGTTGTCGAAATTGCCATTCTCCACAAGCCGGAGCGTGATTTGAAAGTCCACGATGTGCAGCTCTTCCCTGCATTAATACATAGATTTGCAGACTGTCAGAGAAAGCTTTTCATAATATTCCAGTGGATAATGAGGATGTTTTTTTTCTGGCAAAAGGGCTGGGTAGAGAGTAACAACGTGTCCTAAAGGATTTTGTATTATGGTATATTTATATGCATATACACCCTTGTACAGATAACTTTACTGCTACATTTTCTTCCAGATATTACGGCGTAATGCACCTCGAATGTAATTTACATGCAGCGAACCAGAATAACTGCCGTGATCTGTCTCTGCTAATAAAATATGTGTATGTGCTATATTCTACATATGAATACTGTACTGTACACATAAATTTAGTAATTCAAAATAAAATTGCTATTTACATTTCCATAATTACACATAATCCAATGCCGTTGACCTAAATTCTGATTAAACTGCAGTACAATATATCTGTATTTACAAAGATTGCAACTGCCAGTTACAAAATTACATATGTCTGGAACGTACTGCAACGTAAGCTGCAGCCGACACAGGAAAAGATGTACGCATTCTAAGTAGTATTGTCAATGGAGATGAACGTGAGAAAACTGAAACAAATCGGCATTTTTCGAAACACAGTGCATCGTCGGCAAAGAATTGCGGTGATGGAACGTTTTTGCGGGGCTGACTGAAAACGACCCTCCATGTTCCCTGAAAGGAACGCAGGGGGAATTCTGGCAGTGTTGGATATAGCTTGCACGGCTACTGCTGATTTTCCAATCAAAATTCCCACGCCGCTGAGACATGTGAAAAGCTCCATATACCAAAGGATTTAATACTGCGCTTGACATACCTACACAAAATATGCTTGATAAATTACTATTTGCTGCATGCATAATAATAAGTTACCAATAACTTAGAAATACAAATAAGACAATTTGTAGCTACAATTTGTACAGTATAATTTGTAGCTTATATCTATCTGTACTATCTATACTTCGTATACGTAGTTGTTAAGCGATTATCCTTCTGGGTGCTTGCACTCACCAAAGCAGAAAATATACTGAAAAATTTCATGATCTTTCGGTGTTGTTTCCGTTTGCTGATGAACCACAACGTAATAAATAACTGAACAATAATAAGGCACTGTAAAACAAAAACATCTGTAATCGCGCTATTTGTTTCAAAATTAGTTCTTATTTGGAGAATTCAGTTGTTGCTTGGAATTTTCCTGTAGCTCCAAGTCCAAATACTCGTAAGCGCTGTGCGTTCTTACAGTCCAGGTGCAAATACTCGTACTATAGCTATTACATACGGTACGTTGCCGTTAGACAAGATTATTGCGCTTAATCTGCTTTGTTATTATTCGTGAGCGCGGATCTATGCGTTTTACCCCAGCACAGCAGAAAGGTCATTATCACCAGGATGGACACATAGAGAGATTTCCTTTTGGCTTTCCGAAGAAAAGCCCCCCGTTTTTCATCAGCTGAGCTGTTGTCTGACGTGGTTCTGCGCACTAATCCAGTTCCTGAGTAATTATCGCTAACACGCAGTCCTGTTGCTGAATCTGCAACAGAAACTGATATGTCCCAAGATCCAGTATGATATGTTGGTGACGGGAAAAGGCCCTTTCGAAAGTTTCTATTAGGAGACTCGATTAGATGTCTATGCAAATTATTTATTATTAATTAAGAGTTCCTTAATGCCCTTATCGGGCTTTATTGGGCTTGACACCATCTAACAGCCTAATTAATAAGCGCCCATCCGTAACTCATATATACATATATTGGTTGTCAGGATTTCCTTTGCACTTTCACAAACCCCGTACCTGTTGTTGACTGTTGTCTTAATGCAGAAACAATCAAAATGTAACTGGCAATGATAATCAGAAAGGGCAGGATAAACATGACAGAAAAAGTGAAAAATATATATGCCGGCTCTTGCCATGACTCCGTATAGGCTCCGTATGTCACACACTACCGATAGAACAAACATATCATCAGTCGACTGCATTAACATTTTACAAGTCGAATTTTAAATCAGCACATGTGTTATATGATATCATCATATTTTTAATTATCTTACTTGTTGACTCACAGAAAAAGAAATTCAGTATAATAACATAAAATCCTCAAACATTTCCAAAATATAAATACCTGGTCAAAGCGTTCGTCTTCGGTTCTACCTGGCGATCGTAACACGCGAAAAATCAGAACCTGAAAAAAATTGAGTCTGTGCTTACTTTAATTTTAAGCTAATTTTTTTAGCACCAAAGCACAGCGCAAGCATGCGTGACAATTGCATTGGTTGTTACCTGCGGAAAGCTCAACAGTGTAGCACAAGTCCATGATCCTAGAATAAACGATCGCATTATTCGACGATGATTTATCCTTTTTATGGGCAGCCGTATAGCAATACACCGGTCAACGGCGACAATGGCGGTGGAAAACGTACTGGCGTATAATGCGAACATTTGCATAAATTTAATCACTTTACACAGCAAATCTCCGGCTAACCACTCATATGTGCATTTCCATACAGCATCCGTAAATAAACAAAACACCGCCACAAGCAAATCAGCAATGGCCAGATTGAGAATCAAGAAGTCTATGTTGGTCAGAAAATGCTGACGAAGTCGATTGTAGCTTAATTTGCCAATGACCGCCATATTTCCCGTGGCGGCTAGCGCCGATAAAGAAAAGAGTATTCCAATATGTATTTTTCTAGAATAATTTTCCTGTATATCTTCTTTTAATGTTGGATATATCGCAGCTGTTTCGTTGATCATGGTGGTAGACAAAATTCCCAACATTGATAATAACACCGCTTTCAGGAGACTGGACAACGCTTATGCAATCGCTTTATATAGTACAATTACTCGAACCCGAATGGATAATGTGTCTCGATAATTACGTAAAAGACGACACTGCAAATTATGTGTCTGATTGCCGTTAAATTAAACTATAAATATCTGATACATCTGATATGGGGAAGCGAAGAGGACCCAATATTGACCTTACTGTATTTGAGCAATTTTTCAAAAAGGAAACCGGCACCGCACTGGAATATTTATAGGGAATCACACGAATCAGAAAGAATTAAACGGAATTTTCACCGTTGTTGTACTGTACTCTGTATGAGATACAGTACAGTACATGAGCCACGAGGCCACATATTGCCCTGCGGAAACTTATGACGGCTGCTTAAACTGCAGTACACCTGGCCACAGCGGGAGTTTTCCCGGTGAATATTTAACAGGATGTTGTGTTTTCTGGATAGCCTCATACATGTACGTATGATTTTAAGAATACGTATGTTTCCAAGCACTATGAAAATTGGTGGAGATATGTGTTGACATTGATTCGAAACTTTCCGAAGCGTTTATTTTAACACCCATTACTGCATTTTAGACGAACTGCCTATGTAAGAATTAGCGAAAAATTATCGTAAATAGCAATAGCACTCCTACCAATCAAAGAAATAATACCAATTTACTCCCGCAATATAAAATAATGTCGCATAACTATTTTAACTTTAAAATTTCTTTCAATAATAAACATTTGGTGACCCCTCCGTTCACAACCTTTCACGCGGTTCACAAGCGTTCGAACTGTCGCCGACCGTTCCACGATCGGACGGTCTTAATGCTGTTACTTTGTGTTGTAATGTTTCTGAGCGTGATGTTTAACAATCCTAGCTGGTAAACAAAACAATAAAAAATTTTAGAAAAAAAATTTAAGGTACGTGCAGAAGATTGTGAGTTGATTGAACTAAATTAGGTTATGAATGGAGTGGCCATGCATCTAAACACTTCTTCGTTTCCCGTCTTGGAGAGAATTCTGTAGCCTCCCGATTAAAATGCAGCTTCATGTTGATTTTGGAAAGCGAGAAATGAAAACGTATAATAAAACGAAAGTTTGATAAGTGTCGGTTTCTTGTCCCTCTAATACTAGAGTATAGTTCCTAGCTGGAGCTGACAATAAGTTAGAATTGCATTGTGACCTTACACACTACTCTCGCGCGTATAGAGTAGCGCACTTCTTTGTAGGAATTGGTTAACTTACGCATTTATTGCGCAGTTTATGCTATACTGTAAATTCTTTTTATAACAGTAACATACGTAGTGGCTGTAGAATTATGACAACATTTTCGAGTCGTAATGAGTTCAACATAAAAGCATTTATTTATATGCGTTGACCTGGACGCCGGAGGATGTCACCAGCTGAAGTACGACTTAGTACGTAAACAAGAAACAGCTACCTGTACTAGTACTTTATAGTAAATACTGGCTGACATAACAAATTATTGTTTACGCCGCAGTTACCGACGTACCGCATCCCATGGGCTCCTCCCAGGCTCCAAACTGATCCAGTACTTACCATTAATGCGGTCCCTTAAACAACCTACCCGATTAGGTACTAAACCATGGCAAACTAAATACTACGAGTAGCGTAGTTTGCGATGACTTAACAGTACTGAAGTATAAGTAAAATCAGCAAAATTTCGTTTCGTGGTCTCACTGGTCTGCAACACAAATGATTATGTGCACCATAATTATATGAATACTGTACATCTCTTGCAGGTTTTCGGCCTCTCCTCTTTGTTACCTATGTTCTCAGCTTCCACTGAGCCGATTTTGCAGATTTAAATTTTCACAGAATCCTTTCAAAACGTAGAGTAACACAAAGCTAGTGGTTTTTTTACTCACACAAGTAGGATAAGCCCAGTGGTCACTCAATGGCTTGTTGCCATGGATGCCATAGGGCTAACATGCGCTTGTCTGTCACCACGGGCAAATTAGGGTTTCACAAGAAACAGCTTTGGCTTCGCCTCTGCGTTTCTTGTGGGCCACATACCGAGTGAACGAATGATTCGGTTAGTTTTAGAATAAAATGAAAACTAGCAGCCGAGGCACAAATGAAACAAACTTTAATGGCGAAAGGTCAACATTTGAAAAACCGGGCACCAGATATTGGCCTGATCGACCTCAACTCATAAAAAAAGTGCAGACTGCTAACGTAATAATATATAATGTTGGCTTGATGCCCGCTTGATGACTAGTCACCAAACTGAATGCAGAAACAGGTAATTTTAGCAGATACAAACGCAAGTTGACCGCAGAGCAATCGCTGTGACCAGTTTAATCAAATAAACTGAAGGCGATCTATTGTCTTATATTCCTATAAAACTAACTCTTTTCAAACAAATTCCTAACTGCTAGTGAATTACTACTGCTACCACAAAATATACAGTCATAACTCCTAACTATGAAATCATAACTACTTCCTCCTCGAATACACTGCAACATTTGAATTTTAAACTAGTCTATTTGCCCAGTCGTAATCCAATATTCATCCGTTCTCAGCTGATTGATAATGTAGCCAATGTTTGGGCGAACGGCTGAACCGATTTCGACGCGGCCAAGTGCGTTAAATTCGTCTCAACGGCGCGAATGTTCTTACGCTATTGCACCATCGATACGCCCCAAAAGGGAAGGAGTGGCCCCAAAAAACAAATTGTTGCCATGGGCCCCCATAGACATACATGGTAAATGCATTGTCTGTTCGCGGACCGTTCGGAAAAACCGAGACAGACCGCGGCCTTCGGCATCGGCACGTTACAAAGTATTGAAAATTTAAGAAACATGTGCAAAAATTAATCGCAGTCAATCCCACCAGCGTGATCGGTATACCTCGTATTCTTTCATATACGATATTTCGTAGATATCTTAGGTTTCTTAGGTTTTCTTAGGTTTCTTAGGTTTTCTTAGGTATTCTCAGGTTTCTTAGGTATTCTTAGGTTATTCTTAGGTTATTCTTAGGTATTCTCATGTTTCTTAGGTATTCTTAGGTTTCTCAGGTATTCTCCGGTTTCTTAGGTATTCTTAGGTTTCTCAGGTTTCTTAGATTTCTTAGGTTTCTTAGATTTCTTGGGTTTCTTTGTTTTCTTAGGTTTCTTAGGCTTTCTTAGGGTTTCTCACGTTTTCTTAGATTTTTTCTTTCTTAGTTTTCGTAGTTTTCTTAGCGGCTGGGACCAATGCAATCAAGTTGATTGCATTGGTCAAACCAATGCAATCAACTTGCGCCGCAAAAGTTTGTGTACGGATGTAGATCCCGTAAACTGGTTATATGAATACTAAACATCTCTTGCAGACCTTCGGCCTCTCCTGATTGTAACGCATGATCTCCGCTTCTACTCAATCGAGTTTTGTGCTTCAAATTGCACAAGAATTCTCCCAGTGCGGGGAGTGTTCTTAGACTCTTGACCTTTCGCCATCGCGATCGCGGTAGGCCCATTGGTCACTGAAAACCTTGTTACAGCTTAGGACAAAATGGTCGCATACCCAAAATTTCCACATTCAGTACGTATGCAGCGCAGTGCACTGTACGAATGAGTTCAAAATATCCGGTTCGTACAAGTGCACTGCACCGCTTGCGTACAGAATGCTGGGTATGGGGCTATGCGACCATTTCGTCCTACATTGTACCATGGATGCCATAGTTATATGAATACTATACATCTCTTGCAGGTTTTCTGCCTCTCCTCTTTGTTCCCTATGATCTCAACTCCCACTCATCCAATTTTCTCGCTTTAAAATGTTCTGGGAACCGCTCGGTCTGGCGGGTGATCTAAGACCAATCGTTGTTTGCTGTATGCAGAACCTCAAGCCCAGTGGTCACTCGAAAGCTTGTTACCATGGAGGCCATAGGGCTAATATGGGCTAGTCTGTTACCAAGGTCACATTAAACTGTACTTACTCAATTAGCTCAAACATTAAACAGCTTTGGCTGCGCCTCTACGTTTCCTATGTTCCGTGGGCTGACTGAACGACACTTCGTTGGCTACAGTTGCTATTACATTTTCGCGAGTTTAGCAGAATGAACAGAAAAACAGCAGCCGAGCAACAGAACCACACAAACTCTATTAACAAAGGTCAACAATCTAAAAACTGAACATTAGTAGAGACTGGACTGATAATAGACTCCGTTTGCTAAAGTAATAACCGACAATGACAGCAAGCGTCCACAGGTTGGCTAATCACTAAGCCAAACGACAAGAAAAGGAAAAATTCAGCTGATACAACCGCAAGTTGACCGCAAAGCATTCCCTGTCATTTGTTAAATCCGATAAACTAAATAAAATCTGTTTTCTTACAAAAACCAACTGTTTTCAAACAAAAAAAAATAACTGTTACTGCTTTCTCGAATACGCTGCAACGTATGAATTTTAAACTAATTTATTTGCCCAGTCGTAAGCCAATATTCATCCGTGCTCATCTTGTTATCTACATCCGTAACATCTTATACACGAGTATGCTTTGTTCCGAATGATTGGCCGAACGGCTGGGCCGATTTTCACGCAGAAAAGTGCATTAGAATCGTCGCAACGACGCCGGTAATGTTGCGCTATTGCTTAATCGATGCGCCCCAACGGGGAAACAGACGCCCTGAAAAAGAAATTGTTGCCATGGGCCCCCATAGACGGACGTGGCTTATTAATTAATACAGTCGCAACGACAGAGGCAGACCGCGGCCTTCGGCATCGCTTCGGCAAACAAAATGAAAAATCGTATAACCAGGCAAAATATAATAGTAATCAAGCTGGCGATTAGCGCAATCTGTATTTTTGCTTTGTTTCTTATCTTTCTTAGGATTCTTAAGTTTCTTAGATTTCTTAGATTTCTTAGGTTTTTAGGTTTTCTTAGATTTCTTAGGTTTCTTAGGTTTCTTACGTTTCTTAGGGTTTCTAGGTTTTGTATTTCTTAGATTTCTTAGGTTTTTTTAAGTTGCTTGTGTTTCTTACGTTTTTAAAGCTTCTTACAATTCTTACGCTCATAAAACTTTTGAATACAGAAGATTCGTATGTTTCTTTAAATACAAATTTTCGAAACTAATATACGCCACGACAATACGTACGGATGTAGATCCCGTAAACTGGTTAT